GGGGATCCAGTCCAGAGACTGGTCGGTGAAGCCTCGGGCCGCGAGACACGCGGCTGGAGGTTCAGCTGGTGTGCGGCGTAGCGAACCGCGTGAGGCCACAGAAAATGGGGCGCACGGGCATGAATCATGGACGTGCGGGCGATGTCCATGACCAAGCCTATGCGGCGCTCAGCAACCCCATTCTGCTGTGGGGACTCTGGCAGCGTCCAGGACTGGGTGATGCCCTGTTCGCCGCAGAATCCGCCGAGAATGCCGGAGCGAAACTCGCCCCCACGGTCGGAGTGAAGACAACTGACTCGACGACCACGAGTGCCCTCAGTGGCTAGAAGCCACCTGATCAGCGTAGCAGTCACCTCGGACTTCTCCGCAAGAGGAAACACTGTGGTGTACCTGGAGAAGTCGTCGACGACCACCAGAAAGTAGCGCTCCCTCCCAGACCCCTGCGTCGGGGCAGGGCCCCAGACGTCCAAGTGGAGAGTCTCGAAGGGAGCGGTGGCCGGACGACGGGAGGAGGAGTGGGGAGTGGCACGTAAGCGACCGGCGACGCACGGAGAGCAAGGAGGGGCAAGCGAGGGAGGGAGCGACGGGAAGGTGCGTGGGAGACCTGTGACTAGTCCCTGACTGAGCATGCCACGAAGGCGAGGGATCGACGGGTGGCCAAGACGGTGGTGCCATAGGACGGTGCGGTGGGCGAGAGAGCGACAGGAGCAAGACGCAGCGACTGGACTGGACACAGCGACCGGACTGGACACAGCCACCTGACCGGACTCTGCTACCGGGGGGGACGAAGCAACCTGACCAGACGCAGCTACCTGCGGGGGCGGAGTGTGCAGGACGAAGAGACCTGAGTGGGGCTCTCTGGTGAACGTGGCAAGAACTGCCCCGGTGGAAGAGTCCGTACAGATCGCAGTCCTCCCGTGCGCAGGAAAAGTGACTGTGATCCCCCGGTCCTGAAGGTATCCAACACCCACCAAGTTCCGAGAGAACGAGGGGATGTAGAGACCAGTGAGGAAACCAGAGGGGACAGCCGGGCACGGGAGGGTGGTCGAGCTACGAGCAACTGCTGGTCCTGAAGTAGGATCAGCCAGGGCAACTGGGACTGGAGCCGAAAGAGGTGTGACAGTGGTGTGGTCGCGGAAGAAACACTGAGACGCGCCGGAGTCCAGCGTGAAGGAGAGCGACGCAACAGCAGTCGTCACGGCTGGGCTAGTGACTACACAAGCACCTACACTAAAAGCACAAGTACCGACACTAGCAACAGGCAAAGGTCCTAAGCTAGGTACACGTAAGCCAAGAGATCCGTACGTGACAGAATAAACAGCATCCATAGACATATCAAACACAGGGAAACCACTACGAAACAGACCGGGCCAGATCGGGGGAGCCGACTCAGGCCCAAAACGCTCACGGTAAAGGTCGTCGAGGCGGCTGTAGCAGCGCTGTGCAGAGTGGTCAGGACGCCAGCAGGTAGTGCCAGCACCAGGGCCGGTCAGGATCCGGTACTGGCAGGGGCCGACGTCGCGGCCACCGCGACGAGCCCCCCAGCTGGCTGGGCCGCTGCTGCAGCCAACACGACCTGAACCACCAGGCCCCCATGGCTGCTGAGGGCGCCACAGCTGCTGAGGGCGCCCCTGCCGATGCGGAAGCCACTGCTGAAAAGGCCGCTGCTGCTGTCCCTGCTGCTGGAGAACCCTAGTGGACTCCATGATAAAAGCTAGCGGGGTACAGGAGCGGCAGGCTAGGAGCGACAGGAGCGACAGGCTGCTGTGAAAAACGAGAACAACTAGGAGCGCAAGGTGAAACCAGGCGAGTAACTGCTGGAGCACGGAGCGAACTAAGCTAGGAGCGCCAGGTGAAACCAGGCGAGTAACTGCTGGAGCACGGAGCGAACTAAGCTAGGAGCGCCAGGTGAAACTAGGCGAGGAACGGCTGGAGCACGGAGCAAACTGAGCTAGAAGCGCCAGGTGAAACTAGGCGAGGAACGGCCGGAGCACGGAGGAAACTGAGCTACGAACGAGGAGCGAGAACGGCTGGAGCTAGAAGCGGCGAGCTAGGGCTGGCTGGAGGTAGGAACGGCCGGGGCTAGAGACCGTAAGTGCGGCTGTCGGCTGCCGCTAGTAGAGCCACTGGCAGTGGAAAGTACGTGCGACAGTAGGGGCTGCAGTACTGACGGCTGCGGGATGTAGGCAACTGTGCAGGTCGTCCGGCAAGCAGGAACGCGGGCGGCAGTCGCAGGCCCCCACTGTGAACCCCCTTTTTTTTTTTTTTTTTTTTTTTTTAGGGTTTTATTTATTTATTTATTTTCTGGCACTAAAGCACCCCGGGGCGCGCTGCCTGCAGGGTGTGCTGCCAGCGGGGCGCGCTACCCGCGGGGCGCGCTACCCGCGTGGCGCGCTGCCTGCGGGGCTGGGGTGACGAGCCAGGGAGGGCGCCTGGGCGACGGGCTAGGACGGGCGCCTGGGCGACGGGCTAGGGCGCAGGCCTGGGCGATGGGCTAGGACGGGCGCCTGGGCGACGGGCTAGGGCGCAGGCCTGGGCGACGGGCTAGGGCGGGCGCCTGGGCGACGGGCTAGGGCGGGCGCCTGGGCGACGGGCTGGGGCGGGCGCCTGGGCGACAGGCTAGGGCGTGGGCCTGGGCGACGGGCTAGGGGCGCAGGCTAGGGGCGCGGAGGGCGCTAACGCGCGGAGGAGGAGGGCGCTAAGGCGCGGAGATGGCGCGGAGGGCGCGGTGGCTAAGGCGCGGAGGGCGCGGAGGGCGCGGAGGGTGCTAGGGCGCAAGGGCGCGGAGGGCGCGGAGGGCGCGGAGTGTGCTAGGGCGCAAGGGCGCGGAGGGCGCTAGGGCGCGAGCTAGGCTAGGCTAGGCGAGAGGATCGACACCTACTCATGATACCATCTTAAAGTTAGCGAACAACGGAATGATTGGAATAGAAACGAATGGGGTACAAATGAGCAACCCTAGAAGCTGTACCCCCTAGAGTGCAACTCACTATAGCCTATCATATCAATGTTCAACATTTGACAAAGCTATGTGAACAGTGATTTCTTTCAAAATTTATAAAAGAAATTCACTGTTCACATCAGCCAACCGAAAAATGAAAACGAATGTATAAGGTTGCTACGCAACCCTAAAACAACGTAACACGCCCTTAGGGCTCACGTACATTTCTTAAGGAAGCCCGGATCTCAAGTTTTGAATTTGACCTGCGCCCGTGATCGTTAAGGGCTAAAAATCGGCCACCTTCGCGAAAATCAGGGCCAAACTTCGAGCAGCTCAGGACTCGTTGGCCCCAGGGATTTCGACAGGCCTGATCAAGATATTTGAATCCCATAATTATCAACTCGGCCAACCTGATTTGCTAGAATTACAGGTCACTTCGTGTCTGACCTCATGTCAGACACGAGCCAAGAATGACCCTTATTTCAGTACAACTATTTCAGCTCGGGTAAGTTCAGAACTCCTTTAGCAGCAGTATCAATACAGCCTCCTGAAGAAAATTGAGTGCAAACAGTAACCTCTCAAAGTAGCTTCGAAAATATCAGGCTTCCTCAAAGGTCTACTTGGTCTGAACAAAAGCAGAAAGAATGTTCTTGCGGATGGTGAAGTCGTCAGCCTTCTCTGGCTTGAGGGACTGCACAGGACACCACATGTTATATGCGAGAGCATGGATGGAGTAGAGAAACAAATACGGTACATCTTGACGAAGAACGCAAACGTAATGCACGCTAAATCTGAGTCAATCAAGCATGCACACGGAACAACAATAAACCAGGTGACTGAACGGTTGATATGCTGGCATACTCAGAAAGGGTTGTGGGAAAGGAAAATGATGCATGGGAGCTGTAGGGACTTCAAGTGATACGCACCCCTGCGAGCATGCGGGTGAGGCGAGCCGCCTCCTTCTCTGCATAGTCAGCTCCCTTCTCAATGATGTTCTTCATGGTCTTCACGTAGATCGCAGCATGCCTGGAGCGCCATGCATGAATAAATTATAAGACGGGAACCGGAAGCAATGGATAAGAAAAGGGTTGGAACATGTGACACCTACCAGCCAGGCACAGGTTGCTTGTGACCTTAAATTGGCTCTTTGAATGCAACCTTACTCAGACGCATCACCCGACCATAAAACATATGCATAAAACCTATGCACCGCAAGCCCTCCTCTTCCCCACTATCTTACTCACCAGTCAACTAACCGATCGCCATCCTAACACACCCCAACACTCTCCTTGCCGACTGTTTCACACTCAGAAGCACAAGGTACGAAGCAGTACCACGCAATCCCTGTAATCCTCGCCCACCCAGGACTCACTTGGCCTTGTCGTCTGCCACCTTCACTGCCTCGGCCTTGGCCTTGAGACCCGCCCAATCACCCTCCTTCGCAGCAGCGAAGGCAGTGGCAATCTCGTCCAGCTCCGCAATGCGGCCCGCCTGTCAGCCGTGGGGGAGGGAGGGCGCGCGCAGACAGTGAGTGGGGCAGAATGGGTGGGGAAGAAAATACAGCACATGCAAGATACTGCACTACAACACTTGTGCAACTCTCTCAAATATAAGAAACTCTACTGTGCGGAAAAATTCACTAAGCATTCAACTCTGCACCCCTCTAATCAGCTCACCGTCTCGAGGAGGCTGCCAGAGACGGTCCTGCTGGTGCCGGTCTTCTCGTTGATGAACTTGACGAAGTCCGCCAGGTCCCGGCCCTCGTTGTAATCCTCGCCGTCCTTGTTGCCCGCCGGGAACCACTTGATCGTGGGGAAACCCGACACACCGTACCTGGACGGTGGGGATCGGGAAGGGGGGAGACCGACCAAGGAGAGGGCACGAGAGGGCGCTTGTGAGTGAGAAATATCTGCGAGTCAGTTGCGAATAAACTACAATTCCACAATAATCCCAGAGGACGTGTGTAATGTGGATGAAATCAAGACTGAGTCACAGAAAGAGAGTACTCACTTCTCGCCCAGGGAGCGGTGCGAGTCAGCATCCACCTTGGCGATGACCACGTTCTTGTCCGCCTTGAACACCGCGCCCAGCTTGTCGTACGTCTGCACACGGGAAGTGCAGGCGAAGGTGTAACATGGGTAAGTAAAAAAGACGTAGGATGTCATGGGGTTGAATGTGTTAGATGAGCACGGGAGCAACCCGAACAGCCAAGGAGCAACACGGGCAGGGAAAACAAGTCGTAAGAACAAGGAGGACGCATGGAGAAGAGAAACGAATATCAGGACAGAGGAGGTGAGGGAAGGGGAAAGGTCGGAAGAAGAGTAGGTTTCAAAAAGGGACGAGTGGAAGGTTCAGAGGACAAAAAGACGACTTACAGGAGCAAGAGACTTGCAGTGGCCGCACCTGCAAATAGGGGAGAATCCGCACATCGAAACAAGGTTGGAATGTGTTTTAAGGCATTAGAGAATAAACACAGGTAGAATGTAATAAAATCAGCACAATACAACTTCATGTGGAGATTTTTTGCACGAAACAGGAGCAGGATTGCTGTTGGAAGCAGAAGGAGGCTCTCACCAAGGAGCGTAGAACTCGACGAGAGCGTGCTTGGAGGTGTCAAGAACCACCTTGTCGAAGTTGGACGGGTCCAGTGCAAGCACATGCGACACAGGCGCAGCGATCTTCACGTGTGTCCCTGCACCAGAAGGCTCAGAGCGACAAATCAGATTTACTTCCAAGAGGAATCTTACCAAAAGAGGTAAGTCGATCAAAGAACGAGAGATGCGTGGAAAAAGACAAACGCACGGATCTTCTCGTTGACAAACTCGACCAGATCCGATGCCTCTCGTCCGCCTTTATAGCTGAACACAGGAAACAAAAGGAATGATAAATTATAAATAAAAAGCCCTGAAGCAAACAATATCTTACGATACGTTTTCACCAAAGCAGGTTTGACGAGCATCAACAACGGTGATGACTTACTCTTCAGGCTTGGACTCGCCAGCCGGGAACCACTTGAGCGTGGGAAAGCCGCTCACACCGTACTTGCTGCACACATCCTTGTGCTCGTCGCAGTCCACCTGAAAGCCCAAAGATAGTAACGGAGAGGATTTACGCTCATTGCTTGCCATTACCTTCCAGGAGTTCAACAAATCGTACAAGCCGCCAACATCTTCGTCCACTTTTCTACTGATTAGGTGGTTGCCTTGTGTTCGATAACAAAAAGCAGGTCTTGATTGCTCCGAATGCAGAACAGGTCGACTGTACGGACCAGTAGCTTACCTTGGCGATGACGACAGACTTGGTCTTCTTGAACGCGGTGGCGAAGGTCTCATACTCTGGGGCCAGCTTCTTGCAGTGACCACACCTGAATGAGAATCATTGTGAGATCCAATTAATCAAAATTACACCTCTTAAAAAAAAAGCAACCAGATTTAGATCCGCGATCTACTTCGCCTTCTTTTACTGTTTATTTAAATTTTCCCCTGTATAGGTTCTTCTCCCAATACTCACCAAGGAGCGTAGAACTTGACAAACGCGGCCTCCTCCTTGCCGACATAGTCATCGAAGTTGTCATTGTTCAGAGTGACGACGTCGGAATCGCCGTCGGCAACCGCCACGGCGAACAGTGCCGCGAGGCCGAGACCAAGGAGAAGGATCTTCGATGGCGCCATCTTGACGCGACACGCAAGAAATTAGTGGTTACTAGCGGCCTGATAGAAGTCCCAGAGTCTACAGCATGGAGCAATGAGATTTCTAGGTGAATTTGAAAAATAGATTGAAGGCTTGGAGCAGGTGAGCTGGTGCTATGGGATCCAGAAACGGAATGAAATTTGACGTGTCTGTAGCCCTGTGATTGGTCCAGATCTGCACTTCGGCCCCCCAAGTGGTAACGGAGAGAACAGCATATTCGCGCTATCATTTAGTATAAGGAAACAAGGCACTGCAAATAATCACATAAGTCAACAAACAAATATCCCGTTGGAATAGTATAACGACTTGTCAGTAGTGAAGTAGTTTACATCCAAGAGAGGGAACCCAAAATCACCTGCACAGGAACAATCAGTATCAACCACAGCAGTTTTAGACTCAATGGCCAGCATGCTCTGAAAAATACGGTAAGGGTACCCACTCTCATAGATAGTGTGGGTAAGCTTGAGCCCTTCACAAACCAGCTCTTCATGCAAGATGGACTTCGGAGTTGTCTCAAGAATGTGAAGGGATCCTATGAGAAAGAACGAGTATAGAGGCCAAGAGAAAGCGATATTGTATAAGACAAAAATTCCATAAACGATTTCAAACATTGTAGCGTAAAGCATGCTGACGAAGTATGTGTATGGCGATGGATGTTGCCAAATCCCCACCTGGCAGGTATGTGTCAGAGCCAAGGAACCATCCCACAGCAGTTTCAGTGCAGGCTGCTGTCCCTCCCCTAGTGCTCGTGCCAACTCTCCCCTTTCCACCTAGACTGCTGCTGCTGCAACTGCTGCCACTCCTGCTGCTGGCGCCAGTGCTGCGGCGCCAGCTGGCATGGAACGGAGCGAGCCAAAGAATGTTCCGGAAGCTCATGGAACCATCGTATGGCACGGGGGAGCCTGCACGAGGCATGGGGGACATGCATGCATGGATGCATAAATGTATGGACATGGGGTGGCATGCTGAGACATTGGCATGGTTACATGGATGTGAGATAGAGGATATGGGGTGCCTGAGGTGCGAGCAGGGAGACGGGAGTGACAGGAGGGGTTTGATGTTCTCGTGTCCACGCACTTGCCTGATTGACAGAAGCCAAGGTTAACTGGAAAGGAGTCGCTGCAGTAAGCAGGATACTCCTTGGCGTGGAACCTGCATAAGACAACACATTACCAAAGCAAGGGCGTGCATGAGGATAATCAAAACCAGTGCAGTGCAAAGTGAAGATAGATATCATCATATCAGGGTTACAAGCGCCGGCGGATAGGATTTCTGAGACGTCCCAAAGCTCGCCACAAGTCTAGAGGTGGTATGGGCGGATGGCTTACAGGGCACCGAGACGACCAGAGGAGTGGGCGGCGAAGAGATGGCAGTGGAAGAGATCAAAACGGGAGAGATGGATGGTGGAGGGTGCAGTGGGAGGCGAGGAGGAAGGGATGGAGGATGGCGAGGAGGAAGAGAGGCAGGAAGGGGAGGAAACAATGGCTTGAGACGAGAAGGCTGCTATGGTGTGGAAGAGGAGGGCAAAGAAGAGATTGACGTCCTGGTGATGGCCAGGGGGGGTGGAGCACGGAAGGATGGGAGGAGAGGAGAGCAAATAAGAGATTGACATCCTGGTGAATGGTGATGGGTGTAGGGGCGTTGGGAGTGAAGCATGGAGGGAAGTAGGGCACAGAGGGAGGAGACGAGGAGAGCATGGGAAGAGGAGGGATGAGAAATGAGGAGGCAAGGCACAAAGCCATATCGATTTCTTCATAAAAAAAAAAAAACACCCTGCTGATATTCCTCACTTGGTATACACAGCGTGTCCACTCCCACACTGACCTTACATTGTCTTTAAATCGGTGGAAGACGGTCGAGCTGGTGAGCTGACACCTGGCAGCAACAGAGCCGTCCACGTCAGGCACCTGATGGCGATGAAAGCAAAGAGCAAAACATTAAGAGCGTGGCGAACCGTCACAACTCAGGAAAAGCAGTAAAGTGTGATTGAAGGGTGGATTGCCGAAGTGCGGCATGAGGAGCAGTAAAAGTAACGAGAAGGGCCTTTAATGATAGTTGGAGATGACTCAACGCTTGGTTCAGGAACGAGGGTTTTATAGATCATGATTCTAAGTCAGCTGCTACAGCAAGGGTTCGACTCACGGAGAGTGGTAGTGGAGCGAGAACCTCTTTCCGAAACGCTTCCCGAAATTCTGATGGCTGCGATCGACTAGGACCGTCACAACCAGCAGCATCAGACGCTTGAGAGGAATCAGATGCATAAGGGGAATTCGAGGCAGCAGGAGGAAAGGTGGCGGCGGTGAGGGCGGCGAGACGCATGAGAGCAGGAGGGGGATGGGAGATGAGCGAGTGGACTCGACGGTTGAGATCATGCGCGGCACAGCCCTTGCTGCGCCGAATGAATCTCCTCTTTCCCGCTTTTCCCTTTGCTCCTCTGCCATTCGCTCCTATCCCGTTCGCCCCTATCCCTTTTGCTCCTCTCCTCTTTGCCCATCTCCCCTCTGCTCGTCCCCTCACAGCAGCGTTCTCAAGAGCACAGACCAGCTGCAAGGCTGCGTCCCTGTCACTGCTCCCAGCCAGCACGTCACCATCCTCCACCCCCCAAGTACCAACCCTGCTGCTATTGTCAGGCTGAAGCACAGGCAGCAAGCGTTGCAGCAGTGCCGCTCTCCTCTTCCTCCTGTTTCTCAGCTCCACCCCTCCAGTCCCCCTCCACCTCCCACGCTGCAACGCACAGCTCAAAAGTGAGCCAGCAGGAGAACTGCTCTGCCTGACGTTTAATCCGCGGTCGAAGCTCTTCCGCTTGCTGAAAAGGCGTCTCAAACCGCCTCTCAGATTGTCTCTTGGGTTGCCTCTTATCCTGCCTCGTAGACTGCCTTTTAGATTGCCTCTTGAACCACCTCTTAGCCCGCCTCTCAGCCCTACACCGACACGGTCACCTCTGAATCCGCGACTACGTCCCTGCAATCGCCTACTCCTGCACCAGCCGTCGAACCCAAGCTCGCCGCTCTCAATCACAGAAAGCAGGTCCCCCGCGCACTCCTTCCCTCTCGCTCTGGCTTGAAGAAACTTCTGCTCGTCCCACACCCAGTCACCCTCCTCCTCGGGACTCTCAATTGACCCGTCTTCCTCTTCCTCCCTCTCTTCCTTCTCTGCGTCCCCAACTTCCGGTTTCTCCCCTTCCTCCTGCTGCTCCGAATTGGCGAAAGAGCCGTTTTGCGTGAAAGATTTCGCCGACCAATCCTCGTCCTCTAATTGGCTGTTAGCATCAGACTCGCGCCGCTCAGAACTCTCGCTCAAAGAGACGTTCACACTCCGCGCCAATGTCTCCTTTGAACCGACCTGAGGCTGCTCACACACCTCTGAAGCAAGAGCTAACCCATCTGAACCGGATTTTTCGCCAGGGATAAGAGCAGCGGAGAGAAAACGGAATTTACGACCAGAGTCGCGTTTAATTGTCACCGAGCGGAGAAAAGAGGAGAGATCCCGACCAGAAATAGATGGTGAGTGGGAGTGCTGACGCGTGAAAGCTGCAGTAGGGTCCCCGAAACGTGCGGTGAGACGGGATTCGACAGAGAATTCTGGAGCGGATCGCACGGAGCTGGCCGCTGCACGAATGCGAGGGCAAGGCGACGCAGCTGGAGGATAACTCCCTCCGCTGATCGCGCTCGTGCGGAAATGTGCGGTGGGATGGGGTTCGGTAGGGTATTCTGCAATGGTTCTCAATGGTGTGGCTGCTGCATGAATGCGAGCGCAAGGCAGCGCAGCTGACGGAATGATCCCTCCGCTGATCACGCTCGTGTGATTCCTAATGCATCTGACGCCTCTACTGGCAGCGCTGATAGATTTGCCAGCAGCATCGATATTGCCGCGAGGAGGATTGACAACGCCGCCAGCAACGTCGATATTATTCCTCAACCCAAAACTGAGGAAACTTTTGCTGGTTGGAGAGGTTGTTGCTGCCGCTGCTGCTGTGGCTGCTGCGAGGGTAGTGCTCACAATCGGCATTGGAAACGAAACCACCGAGCGCGGTCGCGGGGAAACCCGCGCTCGCCAGGCGACTGCCAAAGGGCTGCGATATTACCCCAGCCTAAAGCGGTTCACGAACCCTCGGTTCCGGGACGCAGAAGGAGCAACTAGTGTTTCAAAAGAGCAGCGATGGCGGCTGGTTTGAGGGAGGTGGCAAAGCGCTCTTCATGCAAGGAAGCAAAAAGGATCGGGAGCAAGAACAATTTCGAGAACAAAGGTCCTACCGAGAATTGAACTCGGCCTTTCAGATTCAGAGTCTGACGTCATAACCACTAGACCATAGGACCACGAATGCAAATTAATATTTTTTATTCTTTGTACAAATTTTGTACATAATGCTAGCATCGAAGTAGTTGCATCTGCACTAATGCAGCATAAATATACGACGAGAATCTAATACTTAATCGAAACAGCTTCTTATTTATCACATGATTTCACTTAAAAGGAGAATCACTTCTGATCTTAATCTGGACTAACTGTACAGGTCAGCAGTGGAAAATAAGATCAGTGCACCTAAGGTAACACCTGCAAAGACGGGAACTACAAAAGAAAGGGTAACAGGCATGGAGTAGAAGAGTGGAAGGGAGGAGCAGCCAGTGGAGTCGCCATGTGGTTAGGAGATCAGCAGCTTAGAATGTCACATCAGTGTTCAAACGGCCAGTCAAAGTAACTCTCGCACTCGATACTGGTTAAAAGAAATCCCAAATGCTTGTACTGCCGCTTCACGCGATCTCCACCAGTCAGTCAGTCCACTTGAAATTTGCAGATCGGCGTTAAAATTCCGCAGATCGGCGTGTCGCATCGGCCAAACCGAGCCATAAATTTGTCAGACTGGAACGGCCAAAAGCATTTGCTGCATTCGCTGCGACGCAAGAACCAATCGGCGCGTTAACGCATGACGGTCACGGATGGCGGGCAACGCTTTGCGAGGGGCTCCGGGACATTGAAGCGACACAGAGGTGTCCATTGTGCGACGTTGGGCAACGGGAGTGACGCATGCCGCGACCGATTCCGGCGACGGCTGAATATGCTGCCTCGACGACAGCGGAGTAACTGGAATATCACTTGTTGTGGCACGATCATGAATCACCAGAGGAGAGAACAAGAAACTCGGGACGCCAGCATCAGGCTCCTCCATGCATTCTGAACCAATCTGAAGCCCACGAAAGGATCCTGACGGTTCGAGCAGCCTTCCTGAAGTTCCCACGTCATTGGAATCGCTGGCGCTTGTTGCAGGCTCTTGAGGTCTCTCAGCTTGCTCGCCTTCATTCGCAGCCGCAAGCGACGGAAGCGGAACTTCGCCATGATCGCGCATGGTCCCCGGTTCAGATATGCTGCTCCTCTTCAGGACGTAAGGAGAATATCGGAGCGCCCTTCGCCTTCGACTTCGGATGTCGACAGCAGCATGAGAGATTGAAGTCAGCGATGGGGTGCTCTCAGGAGTCATGTCAGCGTTTACCAAGTCTGGAACCTCTGGAGTTTGCACCGCCACGGGCATCGTCACTTTGCCAATCTCAGGTATAAGCTCGCTCGAGCTGTTGAATAGTGGTACTTGGCTATCGGAATAACGCGGGGAACGTTTCATGGCTTTTCACGTGACACAGTTTCCAGATGCTAAACACAGAACCAGGAGAAGCAGTGAGTCAATCTTGAATGCTTTCGGCCAGGGTGCTCAGAAAGTAGACTGTTGCCTTTCCATGGATAAGAGCTGTGTATCTAAAACAAAGTGTGGTGGCGGTGGAGTGGATGGGATGGGAGACGGAGCGGCCACTATCTTGGGGACGACGGACACCTCTAGAAGCGAATCGTAAAGCCGACGCACACCAGAAAAACCTGACGCAGGGGTGCTCGTTGAACAAATCCAGAGAACTCAGCTTCCCCAGCCAATGGCTATTTGCCAGGGAACAATCGAGACGGGTTCGGCGCAGACCAAACAGAAAGGAAACTGGGTTACTGGGAAGAGACGCTAGCAGGTTGGGGCATATGGCTGTGTTGGTTCGGTGAAGCTTGAGGCCAACTTGGGCTAGGTGTGGGAGGCAAGGAGAAAGGCTGGGCTGGCTTGGTTTGGTTCATCCAACTATCTGTCCGCTTTGCTGTAACTATCTGCCTTGTCTGCTCAATCTGCCACGTCTGCTTCTTCTGCAATCTCCCGTGCTGTGGTCCCTCGTTTGCTCTGCCTCTTTTCCGTCCCGTTGACTGTTCACAGGCTCGGGAGCTGGTTACCATCTTCCAATAAAGATCGCACGCGCGGGCAGCAGAAAAATAACGTTGTCGGCTCCCTCCCTCCCTCATCGTCCACTGCCAGCTGTGTTCGACAACCAGCTGTACAGTACTGGACGGAATTGGAAGCGGGACGGATGGGCGGACGAAGCGATGAGTTGACAAGGTCGAAAATTTGGATGTCTATTGGTGAAATGAAAATGCACGAAGCTGCACGAAAGTGGTAGAACAGAACGACACCGCAGATGTGCCCCCTCATTGTCGGTGAATCGTGGGCGTCCAGGTTCAAATTGACATGAGAGATTCATCCGTCCCGTCAAATGCAACATTCAATGCTCCCCTGCAGATTCGCACCAGAGTGCACCACACGTCAGACTTGGTGCAGGCAAACTATGACATCAGAAAGTGCAAGGATGTGCTGGCAGGTGGCACCCAAAGGCACCCAGAGAAATAGTTTTACACAGTTCGAAATCAGACGTCTCTATTCATATTAACCTACGTTATTTCAAGTTATGTCCTTGTTCGTTATCCTAGCAACTGTATATCCCGCTTTGCTTTGTGGAGTTGAATCGGAAGGCAACCCCCTCAAACACAAAATGAGGGACCCATTTTTTTCTGCTGAAGGGGAGCTTCAAATAACATTCTACCCCCTGTCGGCGATGAAGAGGGGTGGGTGCTTGAGTGGCACCCATCTTACTGGCGGGATTTCACCTCACTTCACTGCATCCAAGCTTGGCACGAGACCTATGGTGAAGTAATGATTCCCTTGCACGAGGATACTTGTGACGTCAGCAGCAGCTTCAGTTCGATACCAGCAAACTCAGGTTAAACTACGACAGTACACTTCCCTGCCACTTTAAACAAAAGCCATCTCCCATACGGGCTTTGTAGACTCGGCTTTTCCTGACCTTGATGTTTTCTTTTCATCGTAATGAATCACCAATTCAGCTGCAGATTCTCAGGACTTGTATGGCCATCTCCGCCGATTCCGCGTGCCGTGCTGGCGTTCGACCAACGCGGGCGATTTGCATGTTGATTCATCCAGCGGAAAACATTACATTTCTCGCGACATGAGCTATGCCGTTGTAGGGGCCAGGTTCTTGGCCGCTTGTCGCGAGGCACGTGCTCGTTGACAGGGCGTGATGTCGTCGCTGCGCAGCATGCACGCTGATACGCTCGCGCGGGGATGTGATTGAAGGGAGAGAAGCAGCCAGCTTCTCGAGGTGTGATGTTTCCAGATGCCAGCTTAGTATCGTCGTGAGCATAGTTCGCATCGCGCTCGCTCCCTCGAAGTTTGATGTCTCGCTCGCAATCCTGTGCAATTAGTAGAAGACCTGGGAACGCAGTTCCCTTATACCGCTCTCGTTCCTGCTCGCCCTCATCATTCGGTCTTTGCTCTTCTTACACCACTTTCCGTCAGTGTATCCTCCATCTGCTGTCGTGTTCGTCAACATGGCTGTGCTGACTCTTCTAACCTTGTTCTGCGCTTTGGGTAACCCATTTTTCCACCCATTTCCGTTGCGAGTCTCTTTAACTTCCCCTCTCTTTAACCACTCTATGTTCTCCTTTCTCTCATCATCCGTCCCTATCATCCAATCCCCTTGCATGTTTCCCCATTCTCCCCCTTTCCCTGAATCCCCCTTCCCCCCCCACTCCCTCCCCGCTCCCAGCATCCGCCTGCGCGCAGAATCTACCGCGCCCCGGCCCAGTGGCAGCAGGAGGGGGTGGCGGAGTGGCGGGGGGGGGAGGGCCCGGGGGAGCTGCAGCCGGAGGGGGAGGCGGAGCAGCGACAGGGGGGTTGGGGGGACCCTTTCCACGAGTGGCGCAGCAGGGGCAGGGGGGAGAGCCTGGACAGCTGGGGGACCTCTATGGTGCGCTGATTCGTTTGTCTCTTGTTGTGGTTGTGTTATCTCGTGCAACCCCATGCCTTCGTGGTTTTTTTCTCCTCGACTTCCAGTTGTCCCTTCCTTCCGATTTGTCTTACACATACTTTATTTGCTGGTACTGTTTTCCATAAAGGTCGTCAGACAGTGCACTGCGCTGTACTTATCCAATCATTGTTTGCCATGTGGCAGCCCATCTGGACGCTGAGCTGGAAGGTCAGCAGAATGATGATATCGAAGGGCATATGCACGTCTTTGCCTTCAGGTAACACAAACACATCAGCCAGTTTCAACAAGAGTTCATTTGTGCATGTCCTTCAGTCAGGGAGAGCACCTTGAGGGGGCATGTAATGTTCCACATGTATCCTGACGGATGATCCACCCATCTCCTGACCTGGCTGCACAAAGCAAGTTGGTCAGCGTATCCTTTCCCGCCACATGGCTTCCCCCCTCCCCCCCATCGCTGCCCAGTCTTTTGAACCCCTCGAGCTGCTTTCCTTCTCTCCTTTTTTTCCGACTCCCTTTCTCCTGCTTCAGCGTTGACAACACCACGTTCAACCTCCTGTACGTCACCGCGCATGTCCCGGAGCAAGCACCCCCCACCAACGCTAAGCCGCTTTCCTTTGTTGGTCTTTCCTTTGTTGGTCTTCCCTGTGTCTCCCTTTCTCTCACAGTGTTGACAACACCACGTTCAACCTCCTGTACGTCATCAGTGTGATGCAAGTCCCGGAGCAAGCACCTCCCACCAACGCCACAATCACCAGCAAGCAGAACGACACCGTGCTCTTCATTCCAGCCACGTGGCGCGAAACCACTGGTCAGCCGGGATTCAAGATGGAGGATGGTGGCATGACGAATTGCACTGATGGGATGATGAATTGCTCTGGTTACAGTTACGCGGCTGCGGGGTACTGGCCCAATGTGAATCCTACTCTTGTTGATCTGGTGACCAGGATGGTTGAGGATCCCGAATCTTACAGGGCTCATGTGGCGTTGCCGTCAGGGGAAGATGTGAATGGGAAGTTTGAGCTTGCGTGATCATTGATCTGTTATGCACAGGTCTGGTGTTTCCGATGTATGAACATGCTTATCCTGAGAATGGTTGCTAACAGGATTTTCTGCCCTTTAAACTAGTTCTGTTCAGGGGTCCTTGCACTCTGCATTGTAGGTGTAGAGAAAGTAGATGTTAGGGAAATATCTTGAAACTACCGTACAACGTTAATCTCAATTTGTTTTCAAAAACACGATATCCATGCATTTTCTCATCACTGTACCGGAGATCTTCACTACAGGTAAAATTGTGCTGCATGAATATGAATGATGTTGCTGGCAACCTCATGGAGATTGCCGTAGAAATCGCGAGGCTTCTGTCAAGGTCTTCGAGGTCAGTCTTCGTTCATGGCCGCCAATCGCGCGAAAGCAGCCGATAGGAAGCTCATTCGAGCTCCGCCGGGACCGCCGCGGATTAGTACAGCCTGCCGGACTGGCATGGCCGGTTTCGTGATTGAGCCGAGTCGGCCAATATCGCCGACGCGATTGCCAATGTTTGGTGAGACACGTTGGATTGGCACGTCTGCCTCGGATGTGCTCGATTCCGCCTCATCAGGCTGTCAGAAGAGCAGCGCCAATCACGCCGTCGGAGGATCCATGAATAGCCTAGTTAGCGCCAAGCCCTCCTGAATCACGCCATTAAAACCGGAGTCTCACAGGATTCGAAGTTGGGACTCCGGTTTTAAATTGAATGGCCTCGTCCACCCTTCGATTTCAACCACGTTGTGCAGCGCCGTTCAGTCGCTCCGTACCAGGCTTCTTTAATCTCAGCGACCTGATCGTAGGAGGCTTGTATCGAACGGCGCGGCCTTGAAGCCGTACCGGCTCGGTTCACAAGGAGGATCTCGAGGAAGTGCAGCATTCAGCACACAGTGTGTCGAGGCGCCTCACCTTGCAACCGAGGCGTGTAACATTCTTCGAGGTTTCGAGTCGGTTCAAGAAGAATTTGGAGTGACATCGCGGCGGTATTGTTGTGCTAATGGAGGTGATATTAAGGTAGAATACCGAGGTGCTTCAAATCGCCCCTGGATCCGCAGTCGAGTTCTCCTCCGTCGGATGCTTTTATCCTTGTCGCTTGCCACGTCAGCCACGCTCTCCGCGCTCAACTTGCTGCATACGGCTTCCGGCTCTCGGCCTTAGACTCTCCGCTTCTGGAGCGACGATGGATGCCCGTTGAGTTTCTCGCGCCGCTCGCGTTTCCGCACAAGATTGCTGCTACTATAAAATCATTCCAGTGAAAGATCGTATCGCAGCGACTTTTCGAGGCCTGTGTCCCTCGCTCGTCCGTGTCTGTCATCTCTAGCCGCGGCGTCTCTTCTCTCGTCTCCTCACTCCTCGTCTTCTTCCTCCTCTGTCCCACTCCAGTACCTGCTGGGATCCGTCTGTATTTGACTCTCAACGCGCACGGGAGCAGCCATGGGTTTCCTGACGCTGCTGGTCGTTTTCTGCGCTTTAGGTATGCTATGCTGAGAAAAGAGTCACACAATTGCTTCGCTGGTGAATTGTTGAGCTTTCGTTGGTGGACGATTGAGCTGGTTCCATACCTATCCTTCCTTCCCTGATTTGCTCTTTCCCTCTTCGTGAACCCCAGCATCCGCGTGCGCCCAACAGCCCCCAGGGGGAGGGGGCGGAGCACCAGGGGGGGAAACGCCTGTGCCAGCAGGGGGAGGGGGCGGAGCACCTCAGGAGGGCGGAGCACCAGGGGGGGGAACGCCTGTGCCAGCAGAGGGAGGGGGCGGAGCACCTCAGGGGGGCGGAGCACCTCAGGGGGGCGGAGCACCTCAGGGGGGTGGAGCACCTCAGGGGGGTGGAGCACCTCAGGGGGGCGGAGCACCAGGGGGGGGAACGCCTGTGCCAGCAGGGGGAGGGGGCGGAGCACCTCAGGGGGGCGGAGCACCTCAGGGGGGCGGAGCGCCTCAGGGGGGCGGAGCTCCTCAGGGGGGGGGAGCACCTCAGGGGGGCGGAGCTCCTCAGGGGGGGGGAGCACCTCAGGGGGGCGGAGCACCTCAGGGGGGCGGAGCACCTCAGGGGGGCGGAGCACCTGGGGGGGGAGCAGCCCCAGGGGGCGGAGCAGCCCCAGGAGGAGGAACGCCTGTACCAGCGGCGGGAGGCGGAGCAGCAGGGGGAGGAGGCCCTGGGGGGCCTGGGGGGGCTGGGGCAGCAGGGGGAGGGGGGCCGGGGGGGCCAGGGGTTGCGCTTGACAAGGTTGGGAAGAAGGTTCCGTGGGTTGCGCAGCAGCAGCAGGGGGGAGGGGCGGGGGGGGCAGAGCTGGGGGACCTCTATGGTGCGTGTCTAACCGTGGCTAGGCTCTGACCGATGGCCCCCCCAGGCCTCCCATGCTCGCTTGCGCTGTTCCTCTTCCAACTGCTCTGCCTGTCCGCAGCTTTCTTATCACTTCCATTCATTCACCACCTTATCTTTCCACACTCCATGACTCTTTTTTACTTTACCTAGCTCTCGTCTCTTCCCCTGTCCGTTGCCCTTGGTTTTCTCCCTTCCTCTTCTCTTATCTCTTCCATGTCTCTCTGGTGCTTGTCAATGATGATTGTTCCAATGGCTGTGCGCCACGTGGCAGCCCATCTGGAGGGTGAGTTGGAGGGGCAGAACAATGACGACATCGAAGGGGAGATCCACCTCTACACCTTCCGGTAAGTCCCTTCCGGTAAGACTCATATGCACTCTTGGAAGCTGTGCCGCACCTCCCATGAGACTCTCTGGTCTGCAACTTACCCGTCCGGTCAAAGGTCAGTGCTCATGGCTGCTTCTGAGGCAAACCAAACGCCACCTTTAAAAGGGGAGACTGACCTCCACTTCCCCTGGTAGTTTGAATGATGCGGTGGGCCACCTTTAAAAGGGGAGATCCACCAAAAGTCACCATTTGTGAGTCGACACAAAAGTCACCTCGAACCAAACGCCACGTAAAAGGGGAGATCCACCTCTGCTTCCTCTGGTAGTGTCAATGATACGGTGTGCCAGCTGGTTGTGAAGACCAGATCAGTTGCCGGTTTAAGTAACTCATGCTTGTTGATTCCACAAGAACTCATGGAATTGAAGTTTAAGCATAGCAATAACGCCAGAAGTTCGCCGTTTACTCTGTTCCCATATCCTCGGCCTTAATACCCTCTCCCTTCCCCTCACACCGTTTTTCCTACCCTCCCAAGCAGCGCCACCAGTGGCGTCTTCAGCATGCTCTAAGTCCTCTCAGCCAAGCAGCTGCTTCCCCAGTAGTCATCTCTCTCTGACACTCCTTCCCCCCCACATCCCGCTCGTCCCCTTCCCCTCCCCCGCGTCCTCCCCCCCAAGCAGCACCTCTTCTGGAGCCTTCAACGTGCTCTATGTCCTCACAGTCAAGCAGCTCCCCCAGCAGTCCCCCCCCACCAACGCCACCATCACCCGCGGCCGCTCCGTCGCCCTCACCTTCCCCGCCACGTGGCACGAAACCACTGGCCAGCCGGGCTTCAAGCAGAACGACGCTGATGATGACGACGATGGGGATTGCCCGGACGGCAAGTGTTACAGTTACGCTGCGGTTGGTTACTGGGCGAATGCGGATAAGACAATTATCGATGTGGTGAACGGTATGATTGCGGATGCCACGGCGTATCAAGGGCACATGACTTTGCCTTCAGGGGAGGATGTGAAGGGAGAATTTGAGCTCGATTAAAGCTGCATGGCATGGTGTGTGAGTGATTTTTGTGGCTCCTGCTGCTGCTGGTTGGTGTGAACGGTATCTCAGAAAATGAAGTTTTTTGAAAGTGTGTAACACTTTCTAAAAATGTATATTTCGAAAGCGAAGCTGCTTGTAATGCAGCAATGGCAACGGCGAAGTGCTCTACGCTCTTCGCCAACTATATAGCAGGGGGTGGAGGCCATTTGGCCTCCACCCACGTCTTCGTTTGAAATTTCAAATGTCTTATTTCATTCTCGTCCGACGACTTGGCGCTTCCCGCTTTCCTCAGTTTCTCACTTCTCTCATAAAATAGTAGGCATCAACTCTTTTGACATGGCACAACGTGTTTCAGAAATGACTTGCGGGCGCACCCGTCCGCACAATAGGCGCGCTTGTTGGGGCTAATAAAGCGACAGCGCCACTGGCGCACGTGGCGACGAAATCGCCACAAGCGCGCGTGGCGACGAAATCGCCACAGGCGCGCGTGGCGACGAAATCGCCACAGGCGCGCGTGGCGACGAAACCGCCACAGGCGCGCGTGGCGAAGCAATCGCCACAGGCGCTCGTGGCGACGAAATCGCCACAGGCGCGCGTGGCGACGAAAACGCCTCAGGCGGGCGTGGCGACGAAAACGCCACAGGCGCGCGTGGCGAAATCGCCAGTGGCGCACGTGGCGTAAAAAATGCCAGCGGCGCAAGTGGCGCCAGTGGCGCTCATGGCGCCGAAATGGTCAAAATCGCCACTGGCGCACGTGGCTACGACATCGCCAGTGGCGTGCAATAACCAGGGGCTCGTCCAGCGGCAGTCGGCACCAGCAGGCTGGCGAAATCTCCAGAGACAAACTGGCATGACATATGCTCTTCTGCTGCTGACATTGTCAGCGGATAACTTATTACCTTGCATATGTTTCCACCTGTTCTTCGTACGTATCTTCGATTTTTGTTTGTCTTCGTTTTTCTCTCGTGTTATTTATTACCTCTGGTCGCAGTAAATCGGTGCGAGGCAACTACCATAGCTTTGGGTCGCCATGAGAGACCATCGGCGAAGAAAGACTGCGGCAAACAATTGGCACAACCCCATGCGCTCCCGTGCGGTGCTGGCCAGCGAGCTCCCCAGGGGGGAGGAGGACCGGTGGGTCCTGTGCGGTGCTGGCCAGCGAGCTCCCCAGGGGGGAGGAGGACCGGTGGGTCCTGTGCGGTGCTGGCCAGCGAGCTCCCCAGGGGGGAGGAGGACCGGTGGGTCCTATGCGGTGCTGGCCAGCGAGCTCCCCAGTGGGGAGGAGGACCGGTGGGTCCTGTGCGGTGCTGGCCAGCGAGCTCCCCAGGGGGGAGGAGGACCGGTGGGTCCTGTGCGGTGCTGGCCAGCGAGCTTCCCAGGGGGGAGGAGGACCGGTGGGTCCTGTGCGGTGCTGGCCAGCGAGCTCCCCAGGGGGGAGGAGGACCGGTGGGTCCTGTGCGGTGCTGGCCAGCGAGCTCCCCAGGGGGGAGGAGGACCGGTGGGTCCTGTGCGGTGCTGGCCAGCGAGCTCCCCAGGGGGGAGGAGGACCGGTGGGTCCTGTGCGGTGCTGGCCAGCGAGCTCCCTAGGGGGGAGGAGGACCGGTGGGTCCTGTGCGGTGCTGGCCAGCGAGCTCCCCAGGGGGGAGGAGGACCGGTGGGCCCTGTGCGGTGCTGGCCAGCGAGCTCCCCAGGGGGAAGGAGGACCGGTGGGTCCTGTGCGGTGCTGGCCAGCGAGCACCCCAGGGGGGAGGAGGACCGTTGGGTCCCTTTCTGGCCTGTGGGCCATTTGTAGGGTAGATTCATGGTTGTGCAATTTAGTTACACTTCTCACACACCTTACGCTTTGAAAGCCTTCAATTGCAAGGTCCGGATGCGGTCGCACTTGAGTTGGTTGATTGAACAATGTTGTGGTGAGTTTGAAATGGTGCTCAAGTCTAGCAGATCAAAAAAAAAAAAAAAAAATGCACACACATACAAAGGGCTCAAACGCCGGCAAATTTACCGTATCCGGATACAGATGCATGTACTCTTCGTAATGTGAGCACGGTTGTGACTGCTACAAGGGTTGGGCTCCTACAAGCATCACATCCATCATCACACAAAACACCAATGCCCGTTACCCGAGTCCTCCTATACTGCTTGCGAGTTTGTGTTCGAAGCTCACGTGTCAGCCGACTCTCATAAATCAACATTACTGTGCTACACTCGGGGCAACACTTCATCCAAGGCAACAGCAGAGAATACAGCATCACCATCAACATCGGTGCCAGCCTCTCCTTCGTGCGTGATTGGACCTCCACCGACATGTCATCGCATAAGCCACAAACAACCTTTACCATCTCGTTAGCATGACCCCGTCTCATGTCTCAGAAGACCCATTTGAAACGAAGCTCGTTGCCATTGCAAACACAAGAAAGCAAGCTTTCTAAATATGAAGTTTTTTGAAAGTGTGTAACACTTTCTAAAAATGTATATTTCGAAAGCGAAGCTGCTTGTAATGCAGCAATGGCAACGGCGAAGTGCTCTACGCTCTTCGCCAACTATATAGCAGGGGGTGGAGGCCATTTGGCCTCCACCCACGTCTTCGTTTGAAATTTCAAATGTCTTATTTCCCACCCACCCACCCTAGCAAAAATTGCATGTTGTAACTTGTAATGTAGGTACCATATCTAAGTAGGACGAGAATGTTGTAATGCCCATTTGAAACGAAGCTCGTTGCCATTGCAAACACAAGAAAGCAAGCTTTCTAAATCAGGGATTGTATGGAAGGGGAGTGGCCGGTTGTGTAGGTTACATACAGGGAGGGAGGGTAGTAGTGGATGTGTTTGTGAGTGGCGCTGCCTGTTGGTGATGGCTGTATATGTGCCGTGCAATGAGCAATCAAATGAATCTGAATGGAAAAGGCAAAAGAATGTTGACATTGCAACCTGAAAATTAGTAGAATGGGTCAGTTGAATCTGAAATGGGTTCCTATTATACATAAATTTGTTCAGCAGAGCCGAATGTAAAGCCCTTGATAGAGTCCATTATTGAAACCGGGCAGAATCATGCTTCTGACTGCTGACGTGACTGGTGATGTGGCCGCTGCTGTTGATGCGAGTGAAGCTGCTGAAGCCGCTGCTGCTGTGGCTGCTGTAGGCACTGCTACATGGTGGTGAGGCTGCGACAGACGGCCCACAGAAACGGCTGACCCAGAGCATCGGCAAGAGAAATGTGGAGCCCTCTACGAATTTTATTATTCAAAACCAGGAGAAATCATGCGTGTGGCGGTTGATTGCTGCTGTGGCTGCTGTGGGCGCTGCTGCATGGCGGCAAGGCTGCGGCAGACGGCCCACAGGAAAGGCCGACCCAGAGCATATGCATGAGGAATGTAAAGCCCTTTACAAATTCCATTATTCAAAACCAGGAGGAATCATGCATGTGGCTGTTAGCTGCTGCTGCTGTGGGCGCTGCTGCATGGTGGCAAGGCTGCGGCAGACGGCCCACAGAAACGGCCGACCGAGAGCATCTGCAGCAAACAGTGATGTGGGGCGAAGAGGGAGCAGGTGGAATGAGGCGTGGTGTTTTGAAGTGTCATGCCAAAAGAGGGAGCAGGTGGGATAGAGCGGAATGGTGGTAAGGCAGACAGACCGAGGGAGGGAGGGAGAGAGATATATACAGGGCACGAAAGATGGACAGGAGGACAGTGTGAGGGAAAGAGGGGGACGGCGACAAGTAAGCAAAACGCCAACTTTGGGTTACAGTGAGAGTGAGCAGAAAACACTGGGGCACAATTTCACTCACTCTTGAGTCGACTCAAAAGAACACTGGGGCACAATTTCACTCACTCTGACACGCAGGCGACATGAGGTGAGACGAGTAGAAGCTGACCCGTGCCACTCCCGGTAGCACCACATCACACATCACGTCCCGCGCTCTCATTCGCATCCCCACATACGCCGCAAACGCGTCTCCCGCCCCATCACCAGCCTCCCCATCACATGTCCCACCACCCTCACCAACCCCCCCACCACCACCTGCCCCGCCCTGCCCCAGCAGGAAGAAGGCGGCGTGGGGGAAGGAGATGCCCGAGGGGGAGTGCAGCGCATGCGCGAACACTCCTGGCCAGGCCCCCGGGTCACTGCGCCTGCTCTCCTGTAGTATAAGCGCGTTCAGAGGGGCAGGAGGGCGGGTGGGATCGCCTGTAGCGGTAGGTGCGGCGGCAGGTGTGGCAGTGGGAGGTATGGCGGCAGGTGCGGCGGTAGGTGCGGTACTAGGTGTGGGGGTATTGGCGGCGAGGTGAGTGAGAGTGGCTGCAGCGAGGGAGACCTGGGTGACGGCGGTAAGGGAGAGGTGAGCGGTGACGGTGCCGAGAGGGAGGAGAGTGGTGTCGATGGTTCTAATGAAGAGAGGCCCGCTGTGATCGGGAGGGGAGTGAGGATGGAAAGAGGGAGAAGGGGAGAGGTTGAGAGTATGAGAGAGAAACAGCAAGGAGCGAGAATTGGGAGACGGCGGTAAGGGAGAGGTGAGCGATGCCCCAGAGAGGGACGCCATTCGGCGCAGCACAGCGCAGCGCAGAACAGCGCAGCGCAGCACAGCGCAGCGCAGCGCAGCACAGGCGTGGGTCGTGATTCAGTTCGCCCGCACCCTCACCCTCACCCTCACCCTCACCCTCACCCTCACCCTCACCCTCACCCTCACTTGCACCCTCACCCTCACCCTCACCCTCACCCTCACCCTCACCCTCACCCTCACCCTCACCCTCACCCTCACCCTCACCCTCACCCTCACCCGCACCCTCACCCGCACCCTCACCCTCACCCTCACCCTCACCCTCACCCTCACGCCCGCTTCTATCCCCACCCCGCCGCACCCCCTACCCAGCACACCCCCAACCCCCCGCCCCCCCTTGCACCCTCTCACCTCCAGAAGGGTTGGGCATCAAACGGCAGAGAGGCCTGCGGGGCTTGCGGCGCTTGAGAGGCCTGCGGGGCTTGCGGCGCTTGAGAGGCCTGCGGGGCTTGCGGCGCTTGAGAGGCCTGCGGGGCTTGCGGCGCTTGAGAGGCCTGCGGGGCTTGCGGCGCTTGAGAGGCCTGCGGGGCTTGCGGCGCTTGAGAGGCCTGCGGGGCTTGCGGCGCTTGAGAGGCCTGCGGGGCTTGCGGCGCTTGAGAGGCCTGCGGGGCTTGCGGCGCTTGAGAGGCCTGCGGGGCTTGCGGCGCTTGAGAGGCCTGCGGCGCTTGAGAGGCCTGCGGGACTTGCGGCGCTTGAGAGGCCTGCGGAACGGCTGCCTCTCGTGCCGCTGCTGCGCTTGCTGCCTTTGTGGCTGCTGGTGTGGCTGATGGTTGTGCCGCTGCTGCATTGCAATCAACCGTCACGTCTGCCGCTCCATCTTCTTCATCACCAGTCAGGTCTAGAACAACAGTCGCGTTTTGGTGATTGGTTGAAGGAAGATCGGCCGTTGATTCTCTTCCCATTCTCGATCTAGCTTCTTCGCTCCCGCTCCATTCTGATCCTCCCTTTACTCCTGCCCCCGCTTCTGCTTCTGCTGCCCCTCCTCCTCCTGCTCCACTCCCCACTCCCCCTCGTCCGTCTTTCTTCCCTACTCTCTCTGCTCCTCTGCCTACTCCTCGTCCCACTGACCGGTCGCTTGCACCTCGATCAGAATTGTCCACGTCAGCGATCCGGTTGTCCACGTAAGCCATCAGGGTGTCTGCGTCAGCGACGGGAGGCGGCACACCCAGTCGGATGCATCTGCTGCACTGCCACGTCGACAAGTTCACTCGACCCAAGCAGTACCTGCAGCCACGTGGCGTGAGCTTAAACCAATGTGCTCATACAGGGAGATTCCTTAAAACGAGGTGACACTGAACACAATCGGACTCAATATAGGCGATCCAGGCCGTTGATGCTAGAAAGATCGGACGGTTCTGCGATGACCGTATGCGTGGCCGCGTGCGACGTCGGCGCAGGCGTCGCATGACGTACGTGTGGCGTGCGACTGTATCGCAGGTGTTGCAGGATCGCAGCTTGGCCGGATTCGCATCGCCGCCACAGATACCGCACACCGTTGGAGCCATGAACGGTCGAGATGATACGTCGCAGCGCTAAACGAGCATGCTGAAAGAGCAACTATGGATGGCGGGGTGGGGAAACGGCGAACGGCAAGAAGACTTCTGGGGAAATCATGCACAAAACGAAGGGGAAAAGGCAAGATAGCAAAAGTGGCTTCGCCCGGACTTGAACCGGAGACCTTCAGTGTGTTAGACTGACGTGATAACCAACTACACCACGAAACCACGGCAAGACACTGCGTGTTAATTTTGATAACCATTAATAAAATCACGGCTGGTGGGTGCAAGAATCTACTCCACCAAAACCAGCTAGTGCGCGCGTCGCAGCATCAGGCGCGATGGCGGACACGGTGCAGACGGTGCTGGAGCGCATGCTCCCGGAGCTAGACAGCCTCGAGAAGCAGGGCCTCTTTACGCGCGAGGAGATTAAAGAAATCGTGCGTCGCCGCACCGCCTTTGAGTACCGCCTCAGGCGCCGCGGCAGCGCGGCGATTAAGGACGACTATATGCGGTACATAGAATACGAGATGCAGCTCGAGGCGCTGCGCCAGCTGCGGAGGAGAGACCCGAATCGTCGCCAGGTGCCCGCTTCTCACTTTGTCCGCCTAGACCTTCTTGTGAGCCTTTTGTAGCATCCCCTTTTAGTGAGATTTTCTTCTCCAGGCGCTTAAACCCACGTTCTTACCCACATTCGCTTCCCGCGACCCCCCTCCCCCCGCTATCTACCCCATCGCGCGCGCAGGCTTTCCGCCAGCGCGCGGACGGTGTGCTGCGGCGCAAGGGGAAGCAGGGCAGCCGCGAGTGGTACCGGCGGCAGCGCGCGGCGGAGCGCGCGAGTGACGTGGCAGTGATCAAGCGCGTGCTCTTCATCTTCTCGCGCGCGACTCGGCGATTTAAGGGCGACCTGGACCTCTGGATGCGCTACCTCGACTTCTGCAAGGCGTCCGGGTCGAGGCAGCAGATGCAGAAGGTACGCTGGTGCTCAGATCGGTTGAGAGGGAGTATCAGGGTTTAGAGGGGCTTAGGAAGGGCGTGGAATGGTTGACAGGGGTTTAAGCAGGTCTCCTGGGTTCAAGGGCGACATGGATTTCTGGACGCGGTACCTCGATTTGATTGCAAGGCTTCGGGGTCAAGGCAGCAGATGCGGAAAGTATGCACAGTTTCAGAGGGGTTGAGAGGGGGTTAAGAGGGTTCCTGAGGGGTTTAAGCCGCACTTTCTCTCTCTCTCTCTCTCTCTCTCTCTCTCTCTCTCTCTCTCTCTCTCTCTCTCTCTCTCTCTCTCTCTCTCTCTCTCTCTCGTTGTATGCTGCAACCTACGAGATCACCCATTGCATGGAGGCACCTGCGTCCTCCCCCACGTACCCCCGTGCCCCTCTCTCCTTCAACAGGCCGTGGCTCGAGCATGCCTCCACCCAACCGCGCCACGCCGTCCCTCTCTGGCTCTACGCAGCAGCCCACGAGTGCACGCACTGCATGAACGCGCCGGCTGCCTTCTCCTGTGTTTCCCCTCCCCTTTCTCTCCCTCTCCCTCACCCCCCCCCCCCACCAGACAATGGTGCGGGCATTGCAACTGCATCCGACGGAGCCGTCTCTCTGGCTGTACGCCGCATCTGATGAATTCACTAACCGCATGAGCGCGCCTGCTGCCTCCTCCTATGTACCCCCTCCCTCCCTCCCCACTTTTCCCTTCTCCTCCAACCCTCCCCCAACAGACCATGGCACGAGCACTGCAGTTGCACCCCACAGAGCCCTCCCTCTGGCTGTACGCCGCATCATATGAATTCACGCACCGCATGAACGCGCCTGCTGCGCGCACGCTGCTGCAGCGGGGGCTGCGCATGTGCTGCCCTCAGCTCCACACTGGGGGAGGCGGGGGGAAGCCGGGGGGAGCCAGGGGAAGCGCGGGGGGCGCAGGGGGCGCTGGAAAAAGGGCAAAGGGAGGGGCGGGCGGAGGGGCGGGTGTGGAGCGGGCAGGTGTGACGATTTCCGAGGCTGGAAATATTTCGATCGTGCCTGCCCGGGTTTTGGAGGCGTCTCGTCTGTTGTGGAGCGAGTATTTGCGCATGGAGCTTGTTCATGCGAGGAAGCTTAAAGCGAGACAGCTACTACTGGGGATAGAGACGGAGGAAGGGGGTGGGCAGGGTGGAGGGGAGGGGGAGGGCGGGGAAGGGAAAGAGGCAGAAGGGGGAGAGGGAGTGGAAGGTGGGGAGGGCCCGGAGGGGGAAGGGATGGAGCAGGAAGAGGACGGGAAGGAGGGGAACGAGGAGGCGGAGGGAGAGGAGGTTGGGATGGGTGAGGGGAAGGGGGATGGTAAAGGGGATGGTAACAGTGGGAAGGATGGGAGCAGTGGGAAGAAAGGGAGCAAAGGGAAGAAAGGGAGCAGCAAACCGGTTTCGAGTGATGAGCTGGCAGTGCAGGTGGCGACAGTGGTGTGCCGCACCGCAATCAAATCGAATCCCAAAGATCTGCTGCTGCGCGTGGCGCTGCTGGAAGCCCTGCGATTGGGCGGCGGGCAAGCAGAGGCAGAGGCGGAAGAGGAGGAGGAAGAGGAAGAAGAGGAGGAGGAAAAGGAGGAGAAAGTGGAGGAAGGTGAGAGAGAGCAGGAAGGGAAAGAAGGGCAGGAGAACGAACAGGGGGAGAGGGCAGAAGGAGAGGAGGAGAAGGGGGAAGCAAGCGCTAAGGCAGCAGGCACGGAAGGGGGGCAAGGAGCAGAGCAAGGGGAGGGAGCACGGAGGAAGGCGGGGCGGGCGCGGAGGCGGGTGGTAGAACTGAAGGGGTTGGATGCGGTGGAGGAGGAGGTGTGTGGCGGGCTGGCGGCCGCCTTCCCTGAGAGTGCCACGGTGCTTGAGGTGCTGGCTAGGCGGTGCCTACGGCGGGGAAGGAAGGCGGCGGAAACAGAAGAGGAGGCGGAGCAGGCTGCGCTGAAGGTGAGCGGGTGGTGTGAACTGGGTGGTGCTGGGTTGCAGTCAGCGGCCTTCCCTGAGAGTGCCACCGCACTCGAGGTCCTGGGTGGACGGTGCTTGCGGCGGGGAAGGAGAGGGGCGGGAGCGGAAGAGGAGGTGGAGAAAGCTGCATTGAAGGTGAGCGGGTGGTGTGAACTTGATGGGGTTGGGCTGGGTGGGGTTGGGTTGGGGTTGGCTGCTAGTGCAACCACTCGTTGGCGGCATGGCGGCCGCCTTCCCTTACAGTGCCACGGTTGCGATGAGTCGACTCAAAAATGGACTCATCACAGTGCCACGGTTGCTTTCCTGCAGGGGAGCGGGAACAGGCTGCGCTGAAGGTCTCTTTCTCAGGAGTGGACTTTCTCATGCGTGCGGCTGCCTGCCCCCTCGTGTGGCCCCTACATTGAAACCCGTGCTCTGCAGGTGTTTGAAGACGCGTTGGAGAGGCACAAGAGCGAGCAGCAGGCGCCCTCCTCGTTCTCGCCGCTGTGCTGCGCCTATCTCGACTTTCTCATGCGCCTGATCACCGGGGGGAAGGCGTATGGGGAGGAGGGCGAGGGGGGGGAAGGGGGAGAGGAAGGAGAGGGGGAAAAACGCGAGCAGGAACCAATGGAATGTGAGGAAGCAGAGGGAGAGAGGGAAGGAGAGAGAGATGGGCTGCCATTGGCCGATCTGGTGTGCCGAGCCAATGCAGCCATGGCTCTGGCAGAGGTTCGGGGGCTAGGTTCGGACGAGCCAATCGTTGAGCGCCACGTGGCGCTGCTGCTGCGCGCAGGGCGAGCTGGCGAGGCGCTAGAAGCTGCGAGGAAGGTTCTGGGAGCGAGCGGAGGGGTGGTGATGCCAGGCCTGTGGGCTCTGGGAAGGGAAGCTGAGAGGAAATTGCAGAGGGTAGGGAGAACGGTGGGGACTGATGTGACAAAAGCAGCAGGAGGAGCAGCAAGAGGAGGAGGAGGAGGGGGAGGAGCAGTGGGAGGAGGCATGCAGTTATCAGGACCAGTGCGCATTGTGAATTGGCGCCATCCCAAGCTGGGGGATTACTGGATGCAGGTGCGTGTGCTGCATGGGATGGTGAGTGGCGGGGAGGGGTTGGAGTGGGGTTGCGAGCTCTGTTTGGAGGAGAGCGTGTTTGCGTCACGAGGAAGGAGTGAGAGCACCAGAGCAGTTAGTCATTCAGCCGCTTCATCTCTGCCCCTCTATTCTCCCTCCCTCACGCTCTCCTCCTCTCTCCTTCTCTCCTCCTCCCTCCTGCTCCTCCCAAAGCAGCAAGTAGAGGCAACACCAAGCCTGGCATCGCTGCAAGCCACAGTGGACTCGCTTATCACAGCAGCAGCAACCATCGTCTCTCCCACCGCTGGGGGTGGTGTTTCTGCCGCACCTGCATCGTCCTCCCTCTGCGCCTCGCCTGCTGCCGCCAGCACTGAGGAGTCCTCATCATCATCATCATCACATGCCAAGGGTCTAGTGGCAGCGGTGCAGTGTGCCGCCCTTGAGACTGCCAGGAGGCGCTTCGGCATCGCTGTCGCCCGCCAGCTGTACGCCAGGTCAGTGCTGCTTTTGAGTCAACTTTTGAGGCGCTTGAAATGCCGCCCACCAGTTGTACGCCAGGTGAGCTCTCTTGAGTCGGCTCTACAGCCACTGCCTGCCGCCCGCTAGCTGTACTGTATGCCAGGTCAGTGCTTCTCCTCAGACTGCTTCTCCTCAGACTGCTTCTCCTCAGACTGCTTCTCCTCAGACTGCTTCTCCTCTGCGCACCCACTGCTTCACCTGCTGCTCCCCATCACGCACACCTACAGGTTCTTCTCGCTCCCACTCGCCTCAGTTAAACTCCTCCTGTGCGCCATTCAAATGGAGCGCGATTGGGAGGCGAGTTTGGAGGTGCCTCAATGCGCCCCTCTTTCTCTCGTGTCCCATGTTGCTCCCCTCCCTCGTGCACGCTGCAGGTTCTTCTCGCTCCCATTCGCCTCAGAGCGCCTCTTCCTGAGCGCCATTCAAATGGAGCGCGATTGGCAGGCGGAGCAGAGCGGGAAGAGGGGGAGTGGGCGGGGGAGTGGTGGAGGGGGGGAAGGGCGGGTGGAGCGTCTGTTTGAGTCGGCGTTGCAGCGATTCGGTGCCGCCAGTGCGGATCTCTGGCTGGCGTACTGCCAATACGCGCTTGAGGTGGGTGCCATGCCATACTGCAGATACGCTTTGAGGTGGATGGGTGGCAGCACTAGAGGGTTTCGTTACCCTCCAGTGGGGATCTCTAGCTTGCGTACCGCCGATACGCGCTTGAGGTGGGTGAATCGCATTATGGCCTACTCTCGATTCACCCACAAAGCTGTGCACGTTTGTTCACAGACGCTTGTCGTGTACACTCATGATGCGAGGCACTTTCGAAAGGGAGATCCAAAGCACAGCGAGTCGCCCTGATCTCGTTTCACCTCATGAGAATACCCATGAAACGAGATGAGGGAGAGATGACTTCCCTTTCACAGAGTGACTCCTGAGAGTTTTCATGACTGCCTGCCTGTCTCTGCCTCCCTGCGTGTCGCTAACACCCAACTCTCAGGTGAACGACACGGGGCTGCCTTCGTCCATCCACTGGAAGGCTCGCTCGCCCCTTGCTGCCGGATGCAGCCGGGTAGACTCACTCAGAGCCTCTCCCTCCCTCCCTTCCCCCCTTGTGCTGCTGGCTGCCCCCTCACCCACCTCCCCAATTCCTCACACAGGTGAACGACACGGGGCTGCTCTCGACCATCCACTGGAAGGCCCGTCATGCCTTGCCTGATGCAGCCGGGTTCATGACCGCTTATCACCGCATGGTGCACCAACCATCGTCTGCTTGACTACCGGTATCAGTATCTAGCAAGATCGGATATGGAGAATAAGAAAAAGGTTGAGCTTTGCATGGCTGTAGAGGACTGTTCCTTTTGGATCTGATATGATCTGACATTGCGACTGTTAGCAACTGTTGCAAATGTGGTACTTTCGCCCAAACCAGCCAGACGGATTTGACGATTTCGGATCTTCCTTGGCCTGAGGCTGGCCATGGAGCATTGGGCTACAGCAACCATCACCAACTGCCATCTGCACTTTCAAAATTCATGTGGCACAAATTTCAGCCATCAGATGCCGACAAACAACATGCGGAAATGCTCAATTTGAGTGCCAATAAGTGAAGCAGAGTCTACACCAGTGAGCAACCAGTTAGCAACAGCAGCAACCAGTAGAACCTAGTCGTACCGTACCTAACCCTACAATACACGGCTTCTTCGTGCTGGCTAAAATCAGCACCAGGAACCGCGGCCTAGCAGACACAGCTGCGCATGTTCCTACCAATCACAGGTACAGTAAACTGCACGCTGCAGGCCTTGTCACTGCAGGCCTTGTCACAAGGCCGTGTGCCATATGCATCAGCATGAGCATTGCCTAATCTGAGCACCAGCAAGCACGGTCAACAGACATGGCCGTGCATGCAGCATGCCTTCCCCTCCCAGAGACACACACACACCAACCCATCCCAGTCACAGCTGCGACAGGTTGTGCCAGAAGATAGAGCAGAAATCCGCAAACGCCGCACTAGACCCCGACAGCAGGCACAGGTCCAACAAACTCTCCCCCTTCCCATCCTGCATCAGCACCACTTCAAACCGCAGCCCATCCCCTGCTGCTGCCGCAGCAGCTGCCGCCGCTGCAGCCACAGCTGCAGAGGCCCCTATGCTTTCCAGTGTGAGGCTGGTGAGACTCGTAGAGTTCATCCCCGCCCCTTGCCCCGCCCCACTCCCCGGCCCTATACTTGTCAGAACCGCCCCTGCACCTGTCCCTGCCCCGTCTCCTGCTCCTCCTGTCAGCCCCCCTCCCATCTCCCTCACCCCTTCCCTGCCTCCTCCCATCCCTCCCACTCCTCCCCCGCCTCCTGGCCCTTCCCCCATGCCCGTGCCACCCATACTGGAGCACTCTCTATCGTCCATGCCGCGGACAGCGAGAGTTAACTCACCATCCGGAGTGTGATTCCGACTCCCATCGTGCATCCCACCTGTGACCGACGAATCCCTCAACCCAGCTGCAACAGTAGCATCATGGAGGCCTGCTGATGCTGCTGCTGCCCCCATGGGCCCGGATTTTTCTAGAATTTGGTTGAAAAGGCGGAGTTTTTCCCGCATCTGTTCCTGCTGTAGCTGCTGCAGCTGCTGCTGTTGCTGCTGCTGCTGTAGCATCAGCTGGTGCCGCTGCCACTGCTGCTGCTGCTGCAGCAGTTGCTGCTGTTGGAAAATCTGCGGCTGCTGCTGCTGCTGCTGGTGCTGTTGTTGTTGCTGCTGCAACTGCTGTTGCTGCTGTTGGTGCAGTTGCAGTTGCTGTGCGTGTAACAGATGCTCACTCACCCCATTCGGCCCATTCACGAAAGCCCCCCCATTACCAGTCCCCATAGCAGCAACACCCCCACCAGAGCTACCGTTGCTGCTGCTTCGACTACTCCCTAGGGCTAAAGACAGGGATACATTACAGGAGGAGGGGGTAGAGGGAGAAGTTACCCCTCCAACGCCGCTCCCATCCCCAAACCCTGCCCCTGCACCCATCCCATACCCACCACCGCCACCAAGCGCACTCAACCGCGCAAAACCACCCACCCCCGCACCTGCCGCAGCAGCAGCCGCTACAGCCGCTGCTACAGCCGCCGCCGCAGCAGCAGCAGGCCCACCCCCCTGAGCCAGCTTCTTTTGCGCTGCAGCAAGTGCTTCAAACGAAGTGGCGGCGGGAATGGCCTGCTCTATAAGCACAGGGGACGAGAGGGACCCTGTGAGAGGTCTAGGCGGGGAGAGGGAGAGCAGGGCGGCTACCCCGCCACGCTGGCGCTTCTCCACGCGTTCACTAATCGCAGCGCGCCACCTGTACTGCTGCTGCTGCCGCCGCCTCTGTAGCTCCGCCTCTTCTGCTACAGCCGCTACAGCCGCCTCTAGACACCCCTGGTAACGCAGCGCTGTTGCTACAAGCGGGTAGGGGGCATAGCAGAGGAGCACGTAGGGACCTGATGAGGCTGTGGAGGAGGAGGTGGAGGGGTTGGAAGGGGGTTTTCGCTTCCATTTTGCGCCGGAACGGTGGAGGGAGATGCAGACCCGCATGGCGGCGTCCCACCACTTGGTGGCTCCCGCGGACGGGGCTGGCATGGGAGGGTTCGCAGCTGCTGCTGCTGCAATCACGTTTGCTGCGTGTCCCGCGGAGGTCGCCGCAGCGTTGGCTGTATTCGCTGCTGCGGCGGCTGCTGCGGCTGCTCCTGCTGCGGCGGCGGCTGCTGCTGTGGCTCCGCCAGTGCCCGGAGCAGCAGTAGCGGCGGCAGCAGCTGCGGCGTTGGCGCCAGCAGCAGCGGCAGCGGCGCTGGCGGCGGCAGTGGAGGCAGCAGCGAGAGGCGCGGCAGCAGCAGCGACGGTGCTAGTATGGGAGGCCTGAAAGAGTGGAACGGCAGGGGTCCAATTCGCCCTGCCCCATATCCGCTGTAATAGCTGCCCGTCTTCCGTCCATAGCGCCTTCTGCTGCCCCTGCCCCTGCCCATGCCCATGCCCGTGCTGCCCTTGCGCCCCCCCTTGTCCCCCTGCCGCTCCCCCTCCCCCGTCCCCTACACCCCTCCCCTTCTTCCCGTCACCTCCCACCCCGCCGCCGCCGTTACCACCTTCCCCTCCCGCGCCCGCACCAGCGAACCTAGCCGCAAAGGCCTCTTGCACCCAATTCCCCGCCAGCACCGCGCGTCCCTCCCCCGTCACCCTCACCGCCTGGAGGTTCGAAATCGCCGTCGCGTTCAGCTGTAGCGGCGCCGCCGGCCGGCCGGCGGCCGTGTCCTCCTGCAGGCGGATCAGATCGGACGGCAGGAACCACGGCAGGAACCACGGATGCCGTCGGATCTCGGGGATCGTGGCGCGCATGGTAGGATCGACGACTAGGAGACGCGCTAGGAGATCTTGCACGGCGGGGGTGACGTGCGTGGGGCGGGAATAGGCGCCGGCTTTAATCTTCTGGTAGAGCGCCACGTGGGACTTCTCGTCGAAGGGGAGGCGGCCGCAGAGGAGCGTGTAGAGCACGACGCCGCACCCCCACACGTCCACCTCCGGGCCGCAGTAGAAGCGGCCGCTGATGACCTGTCGGCATAGAGACGGATGGATAGGTGTGAGGGCAGAAGTACACATGCAAAGTGTTTTAGTTGTGACACGACGCCGCACCCCCACACGTCCACCTCTGGGAGGAAGTAGAAACGACCAGTGATGACCTGCGGGCAGAGAGAGGGACGGATGAGAGAGCAGTGGATAAGTGTATGGGATGTGGCACGCCGCCGCACCCCCACACGTCCACCTCCGGGCCGCAATGAAGTTGGTAATCTACAGAGGGAGAGATGATCGGCAGACGGAGCAAATGCGGGGTGAGCGGTGGAGTGCGACGGCTGAAACATGAATGAGGAGAGAGGCGCGGGGAGAGGAGGGAGGGGGGAGAGGGGACGGGAGACGGGACGGGAGAAGGGAGGGACGAGGGGAGGGGAGAGGGGAGGGGAGTGGGGAGGATAGAGGAGAGGGCAGAGAGGAGGGTAGAGGGGAGGGGAGAGGAGAGGGGAGAGGAGAGGGGAGGGGAGAGGGGAGAGGAGAGGGGAGGGTAGACTGGAAGGAGGGGGGGAAGAGAACAAGGCAGACGGGGGCAAGTGTAGGAGGGAGGAAGATTTCGGAAACTAGACTCGGACGTAAGAACTCCATCTTTCCCTGTCGCCTTTGAAGCTGTTTAGCCGCTTACTTGTATGCGCCTTTGGTTCGGTACAACTTTGTGTTTACATTTGGTACTTCTTTTCTACAACGAAAAACACATCATTTACGAGCAGCTACCCCAGCCACTGCTCCCAACTTCCTCTCCCATTCTTCCGCCCTTCGCCCCGCGGCTCTCCCACTCCTCCTCCACAGTTCAGGATGAGCCCGTTCATAAACAAGTGCAGAATATGCACGGCCATGAGGTTCCCCAGCCTGGTATGCGCAGCAAGGCAGGCAAGCAATACTCACCTCGGGAGCGGCGTAATTCGGCGAGCCACAACTCGTCCTCAGAAAATGCCCCTCGGTCATGAGGTTCCCCAGCAAAAAGGCTCCCCAACCTGATAGGAGCAGCGAGGCAGGCAGGAGAGAGAGACCCACCTCAGGCGCAGCGTAATTTGGCGAGCCACAACTCGTCCGCAGAAAATGTCCTTCGGTCATGAGGTTCCCGAGGCCGAAGTCGGCGATCTTGACGGTCCACGACGCGTCGAGCAGGATATTCTCGGGTTTGAGGTCGCGATGGACCACCATGCGGCGGTGGCAGTACTCCACTCCCGCCACGATCTGCTGGAAGATTCGCCGCGCCTCGCCCTCCGTTAAGCGCCCGCGCTGCGTGATGTAGTCGAATAGCTCACCGTTTTCGGCGTATTCCATTAGCAGGAGAATGTACCTGATGAGGGGTGGGGGTAGGGGGGATTGGGGGCACGGGCGTTTAGCAGGTGCTCAATAACGGGGACGTGGAGGGGACGAGGTGAAGGGACACCGGGTAGGGGTGATAGGGCGCGCAGCTGCGACGTGGTGGTGGGAAATAGAGAACAGCCCGCCGGCAAAGTGGACCGGCGAGCTTACTTGGGCGTCTCGACGACGTTGTAGAGACGGATGACGTTGGGATGACGCACGCGGAGCAGAATGCTGATCTCCCGCCGAACCTTATCCTGCATCCCCAGCTCCACTATCCGTTCCTTCTTCAGCGTCTTAACGGCTACCTTTCCGCCCGTCTGCCGGTGCTCCATCAGAAACACCCGTCCGAATGAGCCCGCCCCCAGCTGCATTCGCGGCGCGTACATCGGCAGCACCTCCTCCACGGCTCGGAGGGACGGCAGCCGCGAACTCGTCTTTCTCGAGTCCATTTTGAGGGATGGTGAGGGATAAGTGACTGTTAGGAGGTTAGTGAGCTGATAGTAATTATTCTGACGGTCGTTTCCGAGATTTACTCCAGGTTGTCGGAAACGACAACCAGAATTGGTTCGTTAGACCGGACGGGCTAGACCGGTCAGTATTCAGGCAGTTCGGTAACCGAGGATTGAGTGTAGTGTTGAGCAGGGTTACAACTCTGTCATAATTCAGCAGCTTCACGAATCATTCGGGGTGCCTCGTTAACGGCATGCAACTCCGCGACGGAGTCCATCGCATAATCTAGGGCCTTCTGTTCTGATTTGACTCCTACTCTAGCAGAACTTGACGCAAGATTGACGGTCATTCTCCCATATTCTAACTAAACATATGCTCGGCGAAAAAGAGCAACAATCACCGGCACATGTGGCTTGAAATTAGACGCATAGAGAAGAAAACGTCAGCTGTCAGCCACGCCAAACAAGTCGCGGAATTAGGGTTTCTATAGGTATGATCAGGGAAAGCCAAGTAGCTGAAACAAGCTAGTCAGAAAAAAGATGGAGGCGAAAGAGAGGAAGCAATTACCTAGGCTAGGTTAAATACTGATGCCAGAGGAAACCGTCATGGTTGTTGAGATGGCTCGGGGAGTTCTCGAGCCTGTAGCCATTACCTCGGCCTAATGCTTCGGCCAAAACACTAGCGAGATGTACCGCAAGATGTTCTCGAGCCTAGCTCGTCATACCAAACGTACTGGCATGGAGGGATGCTGTTGCAACAACCGAGGGGTGCGTGGCGGGCGGGTCAGGCACATCTGCCAAAAAGGCCTATCGCTAGAACATGTGGCGACATCCTGATTCGCTTCGGCGATAATGTGACGAGGGTGACACGCGTGCCACGTCACTGGTAGCTGGGAGGATAGCTTTCTTCGATTCAAAGGTACTCATGAGGGGCACTAAACAGATTGCAGCTGTCACTGGTTCACAGAGGTACCCAAGTCAGCTTAGCAAATTATTATGTCATGCATATTTGAAGTGATTGAAACTTGGAAGCACTTGTGATACTCTGTAATGGGAGATGAGCCTTTTTGGCAGATGGCAGCGCTTCACAGCACTGATTCTAATATTTCACACAATACAACAAACTAGCATTCCACTCACATACGGTACATGTTTAAAAACCTGGATCGTTTACTTCTTGCAATGGAATATTTTCGCCATCCATTTCAACTTCTAAGGGCTTCTTCCTTCCCTCGCGGCTGCAGCAAAAAAAAAAGGTTCAGATACACGCATGCAAGGAATGAAACCACAGAGTACGCGTATAAAATATTGCAAGGTCGACTCGCACAACCATTCATCACCTGATTGCATAGTAGATGCAAAGTTGGATGATGCCGAGAATCGAACCCAGGGCGTTTGGGACCTGAAAGCAACAATACAGTAATGACAATGTTGAATGCACAGATTCTGTTGGTTCAGGGTTAAATGGTTTGAGCAACAAGTGTGAGAAGCTGTCAAAACAACGAGGGCTCAAAACAACTCTGAACAACATACAAAAACAAAAAAAGCTACATATGAGCACCCTCCTCCCATCTGCCCCTCTCTCAAATGTCCCCGTCTCATCTGCCCCCCTCTCACCTGTCCCCCTTTCACCTACCCACTTCTCTCCTACCCTCTCTACTGTCCCCTTCACTCCTCCCCCTTCTCTCCTACCCCCTTCACTACTACCCCCTTGTCTCCTGCCCCCTTCTCTCCTGCCCCCTTCTCTCCTGCCCCCTTCTCTCCTACCCCCCTATCACCTACCCTTCTCTCACATTACCCCTGGGTAAAAGTTGACTTACAACCACGTAAGTGTCTCGCAACTCACAATCACGTAAGTGTATCGCAACTCACAATCACGTAAGTGTCTCGCAACTCACAATCACGTAAGTGTCTTGCACGTAGATCCCATAGGCCATCCATGCCGAGCTACAAACGAATGACATGAGTGACAGTGGCAAAGGCATAAACTCCATGCTGCGTGTCCTCAGCACCACAGACTGCCACGTGTACATGCATCACAATGCACACGCATGCATTTACACACACACACAGAGACACATGCACACTCACACACGTACACCCACCCACCCCTCCCTCCCCACACACACATGTATGAACAAACACAATATCACACCACCCTGCCCCACAGCCGATGTGTATGCAGTAGTGGATGGAGAGATGTTCAATGGATGTGATGTGACTGTGCTGGACGGAGCAAAAAAAAAAAAAAAAAAAAAAAAAAAAAAAAAAAAAAAAAATGAAAATGTCAATGACCCAGCAGAAAGGATGTCGTTCAACAGTGCTGGGAAACAACAGCGCTGAAATGGGAAAGGCACAGTTACAACTGAGCTGAGTGTGATGGCAAATGTTGTAAATGAGCTGAGTGTGATGGCAAATGTTGTAAATGAGCTGAGTGTGATGGCAAATGTTGTAAATGAGCTGAGTGTGATGGCAAATGTTGTAAATGAGCTGAGTGTGATGGCAAATGTTGAAAATGAGCTGAGTGTGATGGCAAATGTTGAAAATGAGGTGCAAGAAGTCATGCGCGTCCTATGCACAAGGACACGCACGAGCGAGAGGTTAGAGAGTCTGCCAGGGTTGGACAGCTGCAGGCAAGGCACGCTGCATGAGTTTGGAAAAGTTACCAGGGATGGACGGACACCCACCAGCGAGGAGAGAGGAGCGCCAAACATGATGACAGTGAAGAGAGTGGCTAGGTTTCCAGCCACAGCAGTGCGGCTGGGTGGAGGCACGATGGTGAAGAGGAGAGCTGTGAAGAGCAGCAGAAAGGTGCAGAGCACCAGCAGCTGCTGCCGCACTTGGCTCTGCGAATGGGTGCGAAAGGGTGAGTGCGGTGAAGAAGGGTGGAATGGGATGAGGTGCAATGCTGAGATTTTGACTTCCCAAACAGAGAAGTAGTGAAGAGCAGAAGAAAGGTGCAGAGCACCAGCAGCTGCTGCCGCACTTGGCTCTGCAGATGGGTGCGGATGGGGTAGATTGCGGTGAAGCAGGGTGCAATGGGATGAGGTGCACTGCTTAGAATGTGAAATCTCCGAACAGAGAAGTAGAATGAGCAACAGCAGTTTTTTGTTGGATAATTGAGAACAACATATCCAGCTGCGCATTATAGCGACCAGTACTGACTCAAGCAACAGCAGTTTTCAAGTGCATTGAGACTGTTTTGTTACTGACTCACCTGAGCTTTGTCCTTAGCGTAGCGCACGAAGAGCACGAGGTAAACCAGTTGGAAGGCCACGCCGATGACATTGGTAACAAGCGGTGGGAAGCGGTTGGGAGTGACGAACGGGAGCGCGTAGACCGTCCAGACGAAGCAATTGAGCAGCGTGGACACGTACGGGAAGGACGGGAAGTCCTCCGTGCTTCGCCTGCTGATGATCCGCTGAAAGGTCTTACTGCGCAGGACGCGTGGCGGAACGGAAGGGGACGAAGAACAAGGGAGAATTTGCGACGGTTAGAAGCAGAGGTGGAAATTGATAACTTGGCGTGCCTGTGGAAAAGGATATCTGGAGTATGGCGACAAAATGAGAAGATATCGTCCCACTTCGCGCCAGCGGGAAGCGACAGAGTCTGATGACCGCTAATTAAGCATCGTGCTAAGCGGAGAAAGAGTTGTGATGGGATGGGTTCACAAGTCCACGGGAGCAGGTAGGGAGAGGCGGATCGACGGCAATGCTATTCTTACATGGGTGATATGAACAGGGCTATGGCGGAGAGGGTTCCGACAAGTCCTAGCGCCGCTTCCCATTGCGGGTCCACGGTCCACGCCATCGCAGACGCAGCGCCGCGCAAGCGACGGTGAATGCCACTTGAAAAATATGTGGTGGGATAAAGGAAACCGAGGTTCTGCCTGAACAGTTGCATTAGAACAGTAGTGGAGATATGGAGGGGCCGGAAGGCAATTGCGATTGAGCGACGACTTAGCGATGTGCGCGAGGTACTTCGGGCACTGCCAGGCTCCGTCGGAATGGTAACAACAGAAAGTCGACGAGAAGAGGTGAGTGTACCATATTTAGTTTGTTTCCACCTTGATTGTATTTTTTCGTTGCTATTTATGCGTCACGCTCATATCGCATACAGTTGTGACTAGATCTTGCGCACGTTGCGCCGTATAATCAGGGACAAACTCATCTGCCATTGAGAAGCTGATATGTAATACTGTAACATTCAAAGAATTTGCTGACCGAAGCTTGACTGCCCCTTCATGTGAGAAGATGTGAGATCGGACGAATGTTTCATCTGACGGCTCAGGTGATCGCTTATCGCTGGCATGACGTGTTTCCTGAACTTGCTGTGCTGTCACTTGTGGGTTGCTCGCTGCTCGCTCTTTCTAAGCGCGCCATATAAGGCGGATCGAGGTACCCGCGACGCGATGGTCCGTGTCAATTTCCACCTCAAACCTCCACATCCAACCCACCAACTACCCCAGCAGCATTTCACAACGCATGTCAATAGCTGTCAACCGACGTCGAACATGCGAATTGTGGCGACAGTTCACGAGTCTTATCCTCGGCTGATTGTAGCTCTTGCGAATGGCCAAATGTTTGCTGGTAGCATTCGCAACAGCGCTGCGATTTCGCATGATTAGTTCGACGCATCGCGCCAGCACAAGCCCCGTCTGGGAGGGATGTTTTTATTTCCATCCTTACAGCTCAACCTGAGTCATCCCAAAGGGCTCTCGCAGACTCGCACAAATACTCGCACGCTTCTCGGACAGCCCAACAGCGCTCAGCAGCAAATTCATGCTCCTCTCTCTTCTTATCCACCCGACTGCTTACAGCAGCACAGCGTCTTGGTACCTCCGACTGAGCCAATATTTCCCAGCCGCATAGTTATCCATTACTGAGCGCCTCGTTGTGCCACTTCCGACACGCATCTCTCTCACTGATTTATAGTAGGATAACTAATGCTGCGCAGGCGAATGGTCGATCGAACTCGTAGTGCAACACACGCATTCGTACTCGCAAACACGTTCTCACAGACTCCAAGAGATTCCCGAGCGAAACTCTCTTTGTACGCTATTATACGATGCCTCCGAGTCTTTCCACCAGTTGGGGGCGCGGAATTATTGTTTTGGCGGGCCTACTGGCGCGTCCGTTATCAACGCTGAAGGAGGAGGGTCCGTTTTCGGCGAGTCGTCGCGACGCCACCCACCACCACAAAACAACACGTGGAGAGAACGAATCCGGCGAGGAAGGGATAGAACATAAGTGTGCGACAATTGAAACGTCTCACGAGTCGAGGGAGGAGAATTGCCATGACGGTGGCATGTTAATGGCATCATGCGGAGAGGAAGAATTCGAAAAACGGATGGAACAGAAGTGTGCGAAATCCTCCCCATTTGGCCGCGTCTCCCCGTCATGCGTTGGAGCTGCCCCCCACGCCTCCGCCGCCGCCGCCGCTACCGCGGTCGACTCTTTCACACTCCCAGAAACACTCGACACGAGCGGTCTCCATGAGTTGGCGGGACAGCGAAGCAATGAAGCCTCCGACATACCAGGGATTCCGTCCGATTCTGAGGAAGAAATTCCTTACAAGGACGAGGTGATGTCCAGCTCGGCAACGCTTGATTCGTTAACAGCCGCCGCGCTAACGTCTGAAGTCGTAGCTGAATTCGACCTTAATAACACGGATTCTGACGAAGACTCGGCCAGCGATCATATGGAGCAGCCTGCACGCCTCACGTGTGACGCTGCGTCATGCTATAACGAGAATTCGGATGAGGATATTGACGTTGACGCTATCGGGGCTGACCCCGCGGTCATTCCGCCGCCGCGGAATCTGAGTCTGACTGAGACGATCGCTTCCGGCAATCATGACGAGGCTGGGTCAGCATCCGCCACCGTGGCAGAGGACACGTCAGCACTCACGTCGAACCCATTCCCGACGGTAACCACTTTCATCCGCCACCAACGGCGCGAATTCCGCATGCACATGGCGCTGTCGCGGATCCAGCGGCGCGTGCACGCTTGCTGCGGGAAGATGCGCGGCGGAGCATGGAACCCCTCGAACAGAGCGACGCGTGGAGGATGCGGGAGCAAGGGGAGACGCCACGGCGCGTTGTCGCAGGACCACGTGCCTTGCAAGGGAGTTTCGAGGGTGCAGCTGGCTCTGAAGAAGCGGCAAGGTGGCTTGGGACGAGCCATGTCGCCACATGCTCAACTGAGCAAGAGAGCTGGAACTCGGGGGATGCCACCGCACCAGGGATTCTCAGGTGGCTCTTCAGGTGAACCTTCAGGTGAATTCTGGGAGAGGGAGTCTGCAGAGGCGAGAATCAAGGCTGCTTTTGTGGTGAAGGTTGGATCGGACGAGGAGGGGGAAACGGGGATGAGGGAGGAGGGATGGGAGATGGGGAAGAGTCTTGCTCTCAGGTCCTTACTAGGCCATGGGTCGCTGGTTCGGGAGGTGGATCGGTGCAAGATGTGCCGAGTCTGGGTCGAGCGAATCAGCCTCGGCGACTGTCCTGCCGAGTCTACTTATGGTGCTGACGTGTGCGCAGCCTTGGATCACGGCCATGACGTCACCGCTGAGGTCAGCCGGCCGATGTCAGAGCACGGGCGGACCGGGATTCACACTGCTACGGAAACTGCTACTGCCACCGCTAGAAGCGAGTCTCAGGGGAAATATATGGGAGAGGGTTTGGGTAGCAACATCAGCGTCGCCAGCACGAACGCCAGCGCTATTAGCAGCGCCCGCAGCAGCAGCACTTATGCGAGCACTTATGTAAGCGGCAGCACCGCTGGGGATGCGATTGGGAGGAGCCTGGCTCTGGGATGCAGCCTGGCGTTCGGTAGCACGCTGGCGATTGCAACTAGCCTGTCTTTCGGAGGGAGTCTTGCCATTGCCAGCAGCATTGCGTTTGGAAGTAGCCTTGCTGTTGTGAGTAGCTGTGCTGTTGATGATAGCACCGGCAGGAGCAGGCGACGTGAAGGGGGGAAGAAGGCAGGAACAGCAGAGGATAAAGTGGGAGCAGAGGCGGTGGGTGGGGAAAACGGGAAGGCGGGGGAAGGGAATGGGGGCTACGAAGTGGAGGGACGAGGGGAGGAAGGGAGAGAAGATGGTACTGTGGCATCCGTAGTTGCTGCTCATGTGGAATCTTCAGAAAAAATCGACAGGAGCAACGACTCCTCCAATGCTGCTAGAAGCAGCCTCGTTTCAAGGAGCGGAAGAAGGCAGTCAGGCATACTGAGGAGCAGCATGAGGAGAAGCTCCTCCTTCACAGCTCCTCCCACTGTCGCCTGGTTTTCCCCTCCTCTTTGCTACAGCGGAGCGCAGTCAGAAGGGAGCTTCCCAATCGGATCTTCTTCAGATGCTGCGTTTCCCAAATATACGTCTCCTTGCCCTGACAGGCAAGCACAGGCTGAAGGAACATCCGTGAAAGAATCGGTTGAGAGGTGTGGGGAGAGAGGTGAGAGATGTAAGACATGTGAGACGGACCAAGCAGATGAGAGGCACACTGCGGATGAGTCAGAGGAGAGAAAACTGGGAGATGTCAATGATGGGAGGGATGAGATACCGGTAACCAAGCGGGAGGAGGTATATGAGATCCTGAAAAAGGCATGCTTCCCACCCTACGACGTTCACGGGGTGACACTGGTGCATTCTCCAGAACCATCCATCTCGTCTCCCTTCTCCTCCGACTGCCACTGGACGTCGACCAATAGTCTGCTGCCACGTGGCTCGCCCTGGAGCCCGGATTTCAAGATAGCAGATCCAATCATTGAGAAGAGGTGCTCCGGCACTGATAGGCTTAGAAGAGTCAAGTCTTGTTTAGAGTTTTGTCAGACTACAAGCAGTGGTTATGATTGTTTGGATAGCTGGCCCTCATGCCACTTGTAATGAGCACTGTCCTGTTGTAAGCAGTTAGAAACATTCTGTTGTGATAAGTCAAGTCTATTGTGGACTGGTAGTGGAATTATGAATGCATGGAATTCGATTCAGCTGATCTGAGTCAAAGTGAAATGTAAAAATTGCATCTTAGCAAGAGAACTGGAATCAGTAACGCTAAATCATAGAGATTAGTGTGTAGTGCATATAGGCACCCCTCATTAGTGTTCAGGGATGCATGGAAGGTTGACTGCTTACCTACGATGAATGGCTAACGCTGTTACATAGTGATCGCAAGCCGTTGATCTTCTCACATGTACGGCCCAAACACCACGCCAAACGAACAGCTGATCTCCATCGTCCGTCTCCACCGCCCAATCTCCACCGTTCATCCTCACCATTCATCCTCACCGTTTGCAAGCGTACGGCTCAAACAGCGTGAACCACTTCTCAGGATTATGGCGCATGAGCTTGGGAGCGCGGTGGAACTCGCCTCAATCCTCACCGTTCATCTTCCCGAACGTACGGCTCAAAGAGTGTGACATACGGCTCGGGGTCGTGCCTCATGAGCTTGGCGGCGCGGTGGAACTCATCCCGCAGCACGCGGATGGAGGCGCGGTCAACCACACGGCCCAGGTCGTGGGCGAGGTCAAAAGGGTCCTCTATGCAGATCAGGTGCCGCTCGTTGCCCACTCGCCTCGTCCACTCCTTCTCCTCCTTGCTGTCAGTGGGGGGGGTGGGGGGGCGGTGGGTGTGCGCATGGGGTCGAGAGGAGGGGAGGGAGGGGATGTATGCACACGCACAGGGGAGGGAGGGAGAGGGAGCAGGGCAGTGCAGCACACGATGAACTCAACCGTGGCGGAAGGCCAGCAGGGGTACGCATGCTGTACTCAAGCAGCAGCTGTGCCAGCAGTTCACCTGAGGAAGCCGCCAGTGCGGATGCTGATGACGCAGCGATTGTAGTCGTGGCGGAAGTCAAACAATCCTCAAAAGCAGCTCCAATACACTCATGGAGCGGTGCAGATGGGAGCGGCATGGCATGGCATGTGGATTCGGAGGTCACCTGAGGAAGCCGCCGGTGCGGATGCTGATGACGCAGCGGTTGTAGTCGTGGCGGAAGGCCCAGTACTCAAACAGCCCCGCCAGCAGCTCGCCCACCGTCTCCCCGTTCGCCGCCCCAAAGCCCCGCAGCGTGTCCACCTTGTCGTAGTATGAACAAACGACGCCGCCCACCTGCACGCGGTATGTGTGCGGCTGCATCTCCTGGTGATTGTAACGGGGAGGGAGGGGAAAGGGAAAGGGAGGCGGAGGGGGATGCGGAGGTTGAGGGAGGGGGAGGGGGAGGGAAGGAAGGGGGGGAATGAGTGGGTGGAGATTTGAGACTGCCGCTCTGCCTCCATCCGGGGCCACTCATTCCCCCAGTGGCTTGGAGCATGTGACGTGGTACAGAACAGGGCTGCATCCTCTGGTGGTTGCAGGGGGCAGGCGGAGGAGGGCTAGTGGGGGTGTTCCATTGAGAGGCACGACAGAGAGTGGTGAAGGGCAACAGGTTCAACAAGGGCAACAGCACTTGTGCCCTGCCTGACAGAAAACAAAAAGGCATCGCATCATCATCAGCCATTGTACAGTATAAAGCAGTGCGCACCTGCAGGCATGGCAGAATGGGCGGCTGGCGCTGCTGCAGGTAGTGGATGCACATGATGACGTAGCTGCACCGCGGGGGGGGGGGGGGGGGGGGGGGGGGGGGGGGGGGGGGGGGGGGGGGGGGGCATGAGACATGGATGGAAAATGAGAGGGGGATGTGGGGAGGGTATTCACGAAATAACTTCTGAGAGTTGTTCCCTTCCCCCTCTCACCGATTCTCTCTCCCTTCTCCCCCCACAAGCCCATAGACCACTCAATCCCCAACCACCCTGAAACCTTCCCAACCCTTCCTCCACACATTTTCCCCCCACTCTTCCCCCACGCCTTTCTTTCTTCCCCCCACACCCACTCCCTCTCCCAACGCACGCATAGGAGGAGAGCGTGCCGCGGAAAGTTTCGTTGATCTGCCTCCGCTTCGCCCAGTGCTTCACGAGGAACGCCAGCTGCCTCACACGCTCGTCCAGGCGCCCATAGTCCGCTCACACCCCCAACCCTCCTGAACCTCCCCAACCCTCCTGAACCTCCCCAACCCTCCTGAACCCCCTCAACCCTCCTGAACCCCCCCAACCCTCCTGAACCCCCCCTACCCGCTTCCCCCACTTGCGCCCTCCACAACTTCTCTCCTGCCCCTCCCGCACTCACGCGTAGGAAGAAAGCGTGCCGCGGAAAGTTTCGTTGATCTGCCTCCGCTTCGCCCAGTGCTTCACGAGGAACGCCAGCTGGCGCACGCGCTCGTCCAGGCGCCCATAGTCCGCCAGCAGGCGGCTGTTGGCCACGGCTGCCAGGTTGTTGACACACATGTCACACGCCACCCCCGATGCTGGATCCATGAACTTCACTATCGGCACACGCGCGTGGGTGAGTGCCTGTGGGGGATGCGGAAGGAAGTATGTGGGCAAGGCAGGAGTATGAATGGGCTAGCAGGCCATTGTTGGCGACCACAGCTGCCAGGTTGTTGACGCACATGTCACACGCCACGCCCAATGCTGGGTCCATGAACTTGACTATCGGCACACGCGCGTGGGTCAGCGCCTGCAGCAGGGGAGGGACGGGAATGGGGGTTTGGAGGATGAGGGCTGTTGGCCACAGCTGCCAAGTTGTTGACGCACATGTCACACGCCAACCCCCATGCTGGATCCATGAACTTCACTATCGGCACACGCGCGTGGGTGAGAGCCTGTGTGGGATGAGGGATGGGGAATAGCAGGTGGAAAGGTTGTTGACGCACATGTTGCGTGGCACCCCTGATGCTGGATCCAGGGCATGCCTTCCGCCCTGAGCGAGGTCGCCGTGTTCATGATAACCTCCACGCACGACCCATCCGCCCCTCCATTTCACCTGATGGTTTCCCTATCCTACCCTCGCCTCACTCACCTGCACACACCAGCGCCGTCCCTTCCTCACCTGCACACACCAGCGCCGTCCCTTCCTCACCTGCACTGCACACACCAGCGCCGTCCCTTCCTCACCAGCACACACCCTCACCTGCACGTTCAGCATGCCCTCGGCTCTCAATGCGGTCGCCATATTCGTGATCACCTCCACACGCGACACATCTGGGCCGTCCAACGCCAGGCACACGTCCACGTCGCAGTTGCGCACGCCGAACGAGTTGGCGCACGAGCCGTACAGGAACAGCTGCGCGGACGGGTACGTGGCGCCCGCCACGCGCGTGAGCGTGCGCATGAGCTGCTCCTTGCGCTCCGCCTCCTCTGCTGTGGGCTCCAGCGAGCGGAAGAGCGCCAGCAGGTGCGAGTTCAGGCGGGAGAGGTCCACGCGGAGGGACGGCGGGCGGTGGGCGTGCGGGCGGAACTGCACCCCCTGCTGCTGATGTTGCTGCTGTTGCTGTTGCTGGGCTCTTGCCTGAAGTTGCTGCAGCTCCTGCTGCTGCACGCCCCCCTGCTGCTGCTGCTGCTCGGGATGCCTGAACCGTTGGCCAGGGCTGGACCCGGGGGGATGGCGAGGGGCGGCAGTGAAAGCAGCGTGGTGGCGATGCGGATGGATGGGGATACCGTGCTGCTGCTGCTGCTGCCGTGCCTGCTGCTGCTGCTGCTGCTGCTGCTGCTGCTGCTGCGGCTGATTGCGAGACATGTGCTGCTGTCCGTGCTGCTGCTGCTGCCCCGCACGCCCCTGCGGCAGTTGAAACTGACCCGAGTCACCAGTCGGGTCACCAGAGAGGTCGAACGCTTTCATATCTTCCGCCAGCGCCTCCAAAGAATTCCTCACATCCTCCGCGCCCTTTCCAACACCGGCGCCGCCTTCAGCCCCATCCCCCTCCGCGCCTGCTGCGCCTCTCCCCGTCCCGCCGCCACTGCCTTGCGCGCTCATCCCGGCCTCGCCGGGCGGGGGGGCGGAGGGCGAGCCCAGGGGCGGAAACATGTCGTCATTGAATAGCTTGCGCGCTGTTGCCTGCGCCCTTCCCTGCTGCGCCTGCGGCTGCTGCTGCTGCTGTTGCTGCTGCTGGTGGTGCTGCTGAAACTGCTGCTGCTGCTGCTGCTGCTGCTGCTCCTGCTGCGGATACTGCTGCTGCTGCTGCTGGTGAAGGCCAGAGGCTTTCAACTGTGGAGCGGCGAAGGCGTTGCCGGCAGCGGCGAGAAGGTCCATAATCGTCTGCTGGCTCGACGGGCCTTCCAGCGCCGCCACAGCAGCAGGGTCGGTCAGCTGCTCCAGAGTAAGCTCGTCCGCGTTAAAGGCTCCACCGTTAGCATTCGAAGTCACTGCACCCATTATCCCACCCTGCTGCTGCTGCTGCTGGGCAGACGGAAACTGCTGGTGCAGAGGTAACGGGAAGTTTCCTTGAGGCCCATCCGGGCCCAGGGCGCCAGCGCGACGCCACGGGTCCCCTCCCACGTCCAACCCCTCGCCTTCTCTGCCTCCTGTAACCATGCCTCCGTTGCTCACGCCGCCACTCACACCCCATCCACTCCCTCCATCCTCCCTTCGCCCTGCCTCCTTCCCGTTCGCTCCGGCAGCCGCCCATTGCGCCACACCAGCGCTTCGTCCCGCTCCCCCTCCGCCTCCGCCTCCCCCTCCGGGCGCAGCCATACCTCCCCGCGAAGGGTTAAACCGGCTGTCCCCACGCCCCTCTCCTCCGCCTATTCCTCTATCCGTTTCGCCCTCATTCGCCCCATACGGCCAGTTACTAAGAGACGATCGGCTGGGAGAGCCTCTGCCTGCCTCCACGGACTTTCTCCCAAACGGGGACCCTTCTAACGAGGAAACACGCTGGTCGAACGGCCCGCCGGGATCGGAAAACCCTTGCAAGCGCGGATCACCTCCGTTCAACCCGGGATGCGGGTACGGACCGAGAGACGGACTCCCGCGGCTCATTCCTTCCCCATTTCCTCCAAACCCTCCTTCCCCTCGGAATCTTCCCGGTGCTCCTGCTGCTGCTTCGGTTAGTTTTTGCGAGTTTTCAAAAGTCATCATTCCTTGCCCGAGTGAGAAAGGCTGTCCGCCGCGCATCCCGCCCGGGTCAGTGGGCCTTCCCGGCGCGCGGAACGGAGAGCCATGGACAGGAGAATCGGACCAGAGCTCCTTGAGGTATGACGGCACCTCGTATTTTTCAGTAAGGTTCGGCGCCGCCATGGATTCAACATTTGGTAGATTATGCGGAGCTCGTATCTCGTCAAGGGTAAGCCCGAGACTGTTTGGAGGAGCGGGGAGATTCTGCGAGACTCGTGGGCCGTAGATCTGACCGAGATCGCCGTCCGATTGCGTCGCCGATGGGCCTGACGCGAAGTGAGTGTTGAGAACGCCTCCGGGGAGTGACTGGAGCTGTGCATGTACAGAGTCCACGTATAGCGGAGCACCGGCTTGGCCCTGAAAGCGCTGCTGCTGTTGTTGGTGCTGATGCTGCTGCTGACTGTGCTCCAGTGACGTGGCTACAGGTGGTCCCAGTGCTTGTTGCAGATGACGTGGCAATGCCAGTGGACCTGAGTCAATAGGGAACGGCTGCTGAGTCACGAGCCCTGCGAGTGCCTGCTGCCTCCGCTGCTGCTGAAAATACTCCTCTACCTGCCACGAAAGCATGTGGTCCGTTGATATGCGAGAGTATCCATCTGACGGTGGAGGAGGAGCATCAGGATTCTGATGACGTTGCAGCTGTGGGAAATCTTGCTGCAAGAATTGAGCCTGTTGCTGCTGATGCTGCTGTTGCTGCTGCTGCGGCTGCGGCTGCGGCTGCGGCTGCTGTTGCAACGATATCATCTGTTCCGCGTGCAAGGAACGGCCGATTCCGTTAACTCCTTGCGAGGCCGCAGGAGCTCGCGGAGCTGTCACTTCGCCAGGCATCCCGCCCAATCCGCTGCCTGGAGTTAGCCTAGATAATACCGAATCAATGTAATTCGCTGCGTGTGTCAAACCGCCGGATCCGCCGGAGAGAGAAAACGAATCGTCGCCGAAATTAGGATTGCGGACAGACGGGTCAGAACCATGCGCGACTCGCGCAGGACCTAATCCGTACTGCTTCGCATCGGACGGCCCGAAATGCCACGCGGTACCCGCCTTCAAATCATGGTTAGCTACAAGATGGGAATTAATCTCCTGCGCGGAAACACCTGAAGAATCTCCTAACTGCGGACGTGCGTAGGCTGAAGCTGGAGGAACGCCGAACCCCGGTGGCCACGAGGCACCGGGACCCGATGCGTCCCTCTGCACACCGGTATCCTCGGAAGCCATAGCCTAAGACTAACAATGGCGACACATAGCGCGTAGAAAGGTATCTACATGAAATCAATCGGACATGAGAGACTGATCTGGAAGCTCTGCGCTCGCTGCTCCAGAATCGAGGCCCTAGGTTTTCCCTGAAGGTTGACTACTGTAGGATCTAGATCGAGCTTCGTTCGGCAAGTTCAAGAATCTTGGGAAGTGGTTGGTTGAGCGAGGCCGCTGAGGAAAAGAAACCCTAGATCTGCTCGAAGCACCGAACCAAAACCAAGGAATGCCTCGAACAGGTGATGCCAAACGGCATAAATGTTGAAGTACACTTTGATAGTGATTCTAGCTACGATATGATCGGGATACTACATTTTGAGGGTTGAAAGAAAAATGTGGATGTTGGTCAAAGGCTTTGCTCTTCCCAGCTCAAGATCGTTGCACCCATATGCGTATACAACAATCTCTTCACACAAAATTTCCACCAATCATTCCATACACTACACTAAGCTGTTGTTTTTGCCTCTCTGAACTTCAAATGTGGTACGTATTGGTGAGAGATAAACCGTAAGGAGGAGGATCTAGGTAAAAAGCAACGCAGCACAGTATCTCTGAGGATGGAGACTAAACGCATTCATAATGCATCTCCGTGGGCATGTGGGAAAGGTGAATACACAAGACAAGTCATCTAAGCCCCAGCTACAGTATATTTCGTGCACACTTAACATCCTACGCCAGCTGTCCCCGCATTGCCTTCTGCACACGCTGTCTGAACGGCTCCACTGCAACAAGAAGGGTGGCAGCCCTTGTCCTCTTCTCTTGACCCTGCTTACCTTGCTCAGACACTCTCTCCTCTGCTTCTCTATGAGAACCCCCCACAGACTCGACCCCCACAGACTCACCCTCACACCCCTCCATAGCCTCGCCCTCGTGCAAGGGCTCCATTCTCGCAAATGTAACAGCCCTCCCACCTGCCAGCTCATGGGTGCCACGCTCTTTCCCCTGCTGCCTCTTGGGTTGCCCCGAATGAACATCCTGCTGGCTCTCGCACCCTTCCTCCTGCCTCTCCACAAGGCTGTGCATCACAGGTGGCACTCCAAGGGAGGCATCAGGCAGCAGGACAGGGCAGCTCCACGCCACTCCCAGGTGGCCCCCCTCCCCCTCTCCCCCCACCCCCTCCTCTCCTTCCTCCCCCTCCTCTTCATATTCCAACCCAGACGACTTGCACTCTGAAAGAAAGCTCGGCATTTCCTCCAGGCGGCCCTCCGCACTGTACGGATTCCACAGAACGCCACCACCTGAGGATTCACCTGAAGCCTTGCAATGATTCTCAGGGTTCTCAGAGAGCAAGGCTTCCTCAGCAAAGCAGTCACTGCTGCCGCTACTGCAACCTTGCTGCACGGCACCACTCGTGCTCTTCTCCACTCCACCATCCTTGCCACTCGAGCTCGAGTCCATCTGACTTGATTCCCTGCTCTCACCAGAGCCATCATTCTTCGTTATCACTGGCACGGATCGAGGTGCCTCAGAAGGCGCCTCATCACCCCCAGAGAGGCTGTCCTTCTTGTGACCACTACTGCTACCCCCACCGCTACCCCACGACCTGAACCCCCATGACCTCAGCCTGCTGCCGCTCCTCGCATGCCCACGCCCTCTGCTCTCTGAGTTTGCTCTCAGCACCGCTGTTGCCTGCGAAGCCTCACCGGTGCTGCCGCGGCTGCTGCTCGTGCGGGCACCTGCAGCTGCCGTGTCGTCGCTGCTGCTGCTCCTCGCAAGCCCAAACACACCCCGGCGGATCCGACTCACGCGCCCGCCGTCCTCCTTATAAGCAGACTTGCTGTACTCGCCAAGAGCAGCCCCAATACCGTCTACAGTGTGCCTCCTGCTATGCAACCCAGGTATATCTGCACTGTAGGAGCTCTGAGCCTCCCCTTGCTCCCCCCCGTTCAAAACCACACCATCCATCCCTCCTCCTCCTGCTGTTCTCCCTTCCAACCCCCCACCTTGCTCCCCCCCGCTCAAAACCCCACTCCCTGTCTCATGCCAACTTTTGCTACCTCCTCCGCTCAAATCCCTGCCACTCAACCCCGCACCGCTCAAATCCCTCATACTCAAATCTCTCCCACTCGAACTACTATCACTCAAACCACTCAAGCTCCGTCCAGCAGCCTCCATGATGCTCCTCTTGCGCGCACCCCTCGACCGGCTCCGCCACCCACCCAGCTGCTCTTTCTCTGCTGCCTCCCACACGTCCTTGGGCCCATCTGAAGGTACCGAAGTCAGCGCCTCGTGGTGCGAGTGCCGCCGCCGGGTTACACTCTTCCACGAGGGGAAACCCGAAGAACGCCCGGAAGAGAACCCCCGGGTGGGGCCCCCCAAGGGGACGCTGGAGGGGAAACTAGAGGAGGGGAAACTGGAGGGGAAGGCAGAGAGCTTTTTCAGGAGTTCGCGGGGAGAGAGGAGCGTACGGTGGCGGGGTAAGGGGATGCGGGGTGAGGTGTCGCTGCGAGGAGGCCGTGTGAATATGCTGCCCTCGCTCACTGATTGATGAAGCTGCTCCTTCCCCTGCCGCCCCTTCCCTTGCTGCTGTTGCTCCCCTTGCCGCTGCTCTTGCTGCTGCCCTTCCTGCTGCATGTCCTGCTGCTCTTGCTGCTCCTCTTGCCGCTGATTGTGCTGCTGACTTAGCTCCTGATTAGCACTTGCCCGTTCCTCCAACCCAGCTCCCCTACCCTGCACCCCAGGCCCTCCAGCGACACGGCCGTCAGAAGCACCGAGACTCTCCTGTAACCCAGACCCTGCCGCCTTGCCTAATGCCTTGCCAGGCGTCTTGGCCCATCCACTGCTGCCGGACGTCTTTCCAGGCGTTTTGGGCCCAAAGAATGAAATTCTGCTTCCAGGCAGGGGCGAACGCGCTGGGTTCTTCCAGGGGAGGGCCCATCTGGGGACGGTGGATGTGGCGGACAGGTCGCCGACAGAAACTGACGGTTTGAGGAGGTTTCGCACGGTGGTGGGTGGTTCTGAGCTGTGAAGCGAGGTGGTGCGAGCAGGAGCGGGAGCAGGAGGAGCAGGAACAGGAGCAGGAGCAGGAGCAGGAGCAGGAGCAGTGACAGTGGCTGCAGGACATGTAAGGGTCGTAACAGCGACTGTAGCATCAGTAGGGGTAGTAACGGCTGTAGCAGCAGCAGGGGCAGTAGTAAGGGCTGCAACAGCAGCAGGTGCAGTGGTAACAACTGTAGGTGTCCCTTCAGGTGCTTCAGATGAACCTTCAGGTGAACCCACAGCTTCTTCAGGTGAAGTCCCAGATGCTTCAGGTGAACCCTCAGCTTCTTCAGGTAAACCCTTAGGTGCTTCGGGTGAACTCCCAGGTGCTTCAGGTAAGCCCTTAGCTGCTCCAGGTGAACCCTCAGGTGCGTCAGGTGAATCCTCAGGTACTGCTGAAGGACCTTCAGCAGGCAGCACAGGAGCAGCACCGGGCATAGCAGCAGGACTGCAGGTGGTGTGTAGTGAAGTTTCAACAGCGAGTGTGACTGCATCCTGAGGTGAGTTGACACTTGGTGGCAGAGATGTGACTATAGCAGGTGTGGGAATGGCAGGTGTGGGAATCTGAGGTATGGGAATCTCAGGCATGAGAATCTCAGGTGTGGAAATGACAGGTGGGGGGGTGGCAGGTGTGGAAACAGCAACAGCGGCTTGTGGTTCAGAGGCATGCAGTGCATTCGGCATGGCTGCTTCCAAAGCTTCCAACGGAGGTGCCTCCTCACACTCGCCACTTGGTGGTGCTGCCACCAGAGCTCTGTCAATGCATGCTGTGTCAACCCCTGCTGCATCAATGCCACCGCCAGCACCACCACCATCACCATCACCACCATCAAAGCCACTGCCACCAGTGCACCTCCTCCGCCTACCTCCACCCCCTGACTGCGGTCGTGACCCGGCCGCCATCGGAAACTCACCGCTCAGTTTCCACCCCGCACCCCCCACTCCTCCCTCCCTCCCTGCACCACTCTTCCCCCGCTGACTCCGCCTCACAATGAACCCCTGCTCCCCCTGCGAGGATTGCTGAGAGCTCTCCAAGCCACTCTGCCCTTCCAGCCACGCCACAGCCTTCTCAAAATCCTCAAACCCCTGCCCCACTCTGCATGCTTCGTGTTGTCTCCCTCCACTGCTCTTTGGCCGACTTAAAGTGTCAACCGTTTCAGAGCGATTCAAACCCTGCCCCACTCCTTCTCCTCCCTGCCCCGCCCTATCCGCTCCCCGCTCCCTCCCTCCACTGCTCTTCGGCCGACTTAGACTGTGAACCGTCTCAGACCGCTTCACCTGCTTCCCCACTCCCCCTCCTCCCTGCCCCACCCTGTCTGCTCCCCGTTCCCTGCCTCCACTACTCATCGGCCGGCTTTGAGCCGTCTCATTGCCCTTCCCGCGCTGCCGGGACCCAGCCGGAGGGAGGGGCCACAGGGGCTCGTATCGTGCATCAGTGTCAGGGATCGGTGGTGCGAGAGTGAACTCAGAGGGCCTGTGAGAGGGCGTGAGGGGCCAGAGAGGGGTGTGCGGATCCCCGGCGATTATGCTTGAGGGTGTGTGGGCGGACGGAATAGTCTTGTGAGAGGGCGTGAGGGGCCAGAGGGGCTCGCATTGTGCTCCAGTTGCTGTTGCTGTGCTTGACTGCGACTTTTGAGGCGCCTGAAACGTGCCTGTCCTCTTGGGCGTGTGAGATGGGTTGGCTGATTTTGCTGAGTGAGTCTCATTGCGCTTCCTTGCGTCTACAGCTTTGCTGCGCTTCCTGGTGCTTATGGGTGTGAGCAGGTCTCCTGAAGCCCCAGCAGCAGCATCAGAAGCAGGTGCAGCAGCAGGTGCAGCAGTAGATACATCAGCAAGTGCAGCAGCAGCAGCAGCAGCGGCCGCAGCAGAATGAGCAGCATCCTCGTTACAAGCAGACTCGGAGTACGGCACAACAAGGGGGGTGCACAAGGGGTCAAGGACCAGCTTGAGAGTGCGGGATGAGAGGAGCTTGCGTGAATATCCCCCGGGTGCTGCGTTTGGGGTCGACTCACAAGTCCCCTCGGGTGTAGCCGATGCAGCGGATGGGGTGGTATCGGGTGGAGCGGGCGTTGCAGCCTGCTCCGATTGCTCGTCAGCTGCAGCCCCCGTTGCTGCAGCTGCTGCTGTTGCCGCTGCTTCTGTTGCTTCTGCAGTTGCTTCTGGTGCTTCTGTTGCTGCTGCTCCGCCTGCCTCCACCCCTCCGCCTGCCTCCACCCCTCCGCCTGCCTCCACCCCTCCGCCTGCCTCCACCCCTTCTCCTGCCTCTGTTCCCTTCCTGTGAAACCAATGATCCTCTGCTGTCTCCCCATCACCTTCCTCACCTCCCTCCGCTTCCCTCTCCTCCCTCTCTTCACCTCCCTCAGCTTCCCTCTGCTCCCTCTCCTCCCTCCTCTCCCTCTCCCCCTCACCCCTTTCACCCTCACACACCTCCTCGCACTCCTCACTCACATCTCCACCACTTTCCACCTCATTAAGACAGAAAGCTTCCTCGTTACCTCTTAACCCCACGCTCCCTTCAACCTCCTGAGAAACTTCAGAAACAGGCTCTGCTGCTCCACCTCCCCTGCTCTCCGCCTCCTCTTCTGCCTCCTCTCCTTCCTCCTCCCCTTCTGCCTCCTCTCCCTCCTCCTCCCCTTCTGCCTCCTCTCCCTCCTCCTCCCAATCCTCCTCTTCACTATCCTCTCCCCAATCTATATCATCCCATTCAGGCCCACTCTCCTCATCCCCTCCTCCTCTTCTGAGCACCATCATATCCCGCACCTCGTGCCATATCTCCCTTCCACTCTCACTCTCACCCTCCCCCTCCCCTCCGCCCCTCCCCTCCCTAAGCCTCATACTACCCTCCCACCCCCCCTCACCGCTCTCCCCCACACCTCTTCCTCCCCTTCTCCCTTCGGCGCTCTTCCCTTCAACTCTTCCCCCTTCGGCGCTTCCCCCTTCGGCGCTTCCCCCTTCGGCGCTTCCCCCTTCGGCGCTTCCCCCTTCGGCGCTTCCCCCTTCGGCATTTTCCCCCTCAGCGCTCCCCCTCTCCGCGCTCCCCCTCTCCGCGCTCCCCCTCTCCGCGCTCCCCACCCACCGCACGAGCTGGTTCTTCTCCGCGGCCTCCCACACATCTCTCCCCATGGACGGCGCTCTACCCGCCAAATCACCTGCGCCGCCTCCGCCACTCGCCTGCCGTTTCGCCTGCTTCCGCGCCTCGTACAGCCTGCGCGCGCCTGCGCGGAACCCGAACAGCCCCTCGCGCGCAGCGGCGGAGGTGGGGGTGATAGTGCTGGTGGCGGAACGGGGCAAGGAGCTCCTGGGGGTGGCGGAAGCAGCGGAAGCGGCGCTGGGGTTGGCGGAAGCAGCGGCGGGGGTGGGGGACGCGGCAGGGGGATCCCAATCCGCTATCGCGCCGGCACTCGTGCCCCTTCTGCTGCTGTTGCTGCTGACGCTACGGTATTGGTTCGCTGAATTGAAGGCAATGCTACCACTTGTAGCCCTTCTGCTTCCGCCACTGCTGCTCGCGTCGCCAATGGTAACGGCGCGCCTAAAAAGCTCCGCCCCCTGTAGCGCATCTCTGCTACCGCCCGCGGATTCCCCGCCCCGCCTTCGCCCCTTCCGCCCGTTCCGCGGTAGCGGAGCGAGCGCGCCTCTCTCCTCTCCCATATCCTCTTCCCCCGCCCGCGCCTTGTCCCCGCGCCCCGCCCCCCAAGGGCTCCGCTTATCGCTCCTCCGCCCTTCCCCGTGGTACGTCAGTGGGCCCGTGACCGCCTCTGGCGGGCTTTCCGCTCCACCATTGGCGCTGATTGCGCCGTCTCCGCTCGCGCTTCTTCCCGCGCGCCTTCCGGGGACCAATAACTTCCCCTCGATTCCCGCCCGTGCCGCCGCTTTCGTCTCTGCTGTCCCATCCGTCCCCCGTCCCGCCCCACCTTCACCTCCGCTAACTTTTAAGCGCAGCAGCGGTGGCGGCTTCCGCCCATCGTCGGGATTGGCGGCATCCTCGATGAGGGGAAGTGCAATGTCGGCGGCGGGCGAGGTTGACGCGTTCGCGGGGACGGCGGATGTGCAGACTGGCGACTCGGCAGCTGCGTATGGGATCATATTCTAGAACGAAGAATTCTGTGGCGAGGATAAACGTTGGAATTGCGGTGATGTCGGATGGCGATGATGGGATGGTGACTACGTGTCAAGATTCATGCGGTCGTCGCAAGTCGACTCAGCAGTCTCCGACAAAATGCCCGCGTTGTTCCTCCATTACTTGCTTTCCTAAGTCACAGCTGCATGCAGCTTCGAGGAAACCTCAGCCAGGTTGAAACTGGTAAGAGAATTGCCTTCGTCACAGGGTCGCAAGTGGATTTATGTGCTAGACTAAGTAGCACTGAATGAACTACAGGTAGCAGGCTGGCAGTTGAGTGAGGGGAGTATGGCGGCATATTGTTCAACCGTGATTCCTCCTGTGCGTTTCAATGTGGTGCGCAATGGTGAAGTACGATAATGAACACTCAGGCCGTATTCTACCTTTCACCGCTTTCAACCGTTGCTAACCAGCCTAAAAATGCACCCCCCTGCTTTTGTGGCAAACGCACGCCAGTGGTCCACAGAACATGCTGTGCGGTAAAGCGACAAGGGCAACACGTGGGGTTTGCCGAGCCTAATCTGTCTGTTTCCCCGTCGAACCTGCCCGGCAGCCCTTTCAGAGCCTACAAACTGAGGTGGTTTGGTTTGGCATGCATCTCGAAAAGCAGCGACTAGGCTAGGCGGGAGGACGTTGGGAAAACGGGAGCGGGTAGTGGTGTGGTGCGGTGGGGATGGGAGAGATGTGAAGGGAGGAGAGGGAGGCGGACAGAGCCATTTCAACTTGAAGTTGTAGTATATATATATTTTCAAATCTTGAAAGAGTTATGCGGACTACAGTGTTTCCTAAACGAAGCACCATTGCCAACCAAATCTCCCTCGAGTTCACTGACAGAACAGTCCGCGGTTGGTTGCTGCATGACTGGCAGGGCTGGGACATTCGTTTTCACTCTGGTCTAGTTCCCTTCCCACAAACGAATTTTGCTGCTGTGACTGCATGATTTCACGCATTACACACAGCGTGATCTGTGCTAGGAGCCATCAATCTTAGCGCTCTCATACATACGAAACTTAATCATGGCAGTTCAGGCCGAGGAACAGACAAGAGCGAGAGCGTTTTTTTTTTTTCCGAAGAACGTCCACTTTGCCAACTGTACGTGTGCCTGTCAGTCGTCGACCATTCGGTCATTCTACTCTGATGTCTCACCTGTAAAACAATGCAGGTCCTTGTGAATGTTGAATGGAAGCCTACTAAGCTGGCTGGAAGGTTTTACAAGGGAGCTTCCTCACTGCTGGAGAAGCTTCTTCACTGCTGGAGGATTAAGTCAGCTTTACTGGTGCTTGTATTCCTTTTCTGAATCCCGTTTCGCCTTCCCTTCAGTCAGTTTTTTCATTGCTTCATGTGCACGCAGGTGGATATGAGAATGCGAAGGTTAAAGCTTAGTTTTCAGTCACCCGTCTATACGGTGAGAATGGCATTTCTTTTACACCTGGGATGTTGACTCTCCTCTTGACGCTTGTTTCTCGTGCAGAGACTGTAAATGGCTGTAATAATTTGAACTATTAAGCTTATTACGAGTCACGTTCATCATGAGAACACCCTTCATTGAAACTTCTGTTGAGGACACATTTGTCGACCCTGGGTATCAGCTTCAGAGGAAATGAAGTCATATCAACCACTCTGGAGTCCAACATTCTAAGCAATGATATCAAGCAAAATCGAGCCACCCAGATCACCTTCAGTTGGCCAGGCTCTCATCACAAACAGCAAGTTCCCGTACCGTATTCGTCTGCTGTCAGCACCACCAGGCACATTGATGAGTGTGATTGATTTTGTCTTGAGTAATTTAAAGCATCAGAAGAGAGACTAACAGCAGTCTGTTTTTTTTTTTTTTTTTTTTTTTTTTTTTTCAGGGGCTTTTATTGATTCTATTTTGCCAAATCTGGGTTCTGGATGCACTTCGCACTTTATTACGCTTCATTAACTGATGATAAAAGCTTTCTATAGTGTGCTCAACACTGCCTTATTCTGGTACATGCTAGGTACTCTTGGAGTCATGACATTTCTGACCCCGTGTCAGCGGCATACAGAGTTGAAATTGGTAGGAGCAACCATACCAGCATTTCTCTAAGGACGCGGCACCTGTTTTCATTTTGCCAGGATCGATCGTGGGAGGGGATCGATGTGCCGCTTGTACAGTGTATTGGCGACATCGCCAATGCCTGGTATCCGTTTTTCGCTGAACGTCGAGAATGTACAGTAAACGGGTACCCAAATTGGTGGCACCTGCAGCTCGCACGATCGATGTGCCGTGGTGCATGTGTTAGGGTTGGCGGGAGAGCATATCGCGCCACAGGTGACAGCCTCGATCGATCGGCGTCGCCAACGGTCGCAGGCCAAAAATTCTTGGGTCGCTGCGAATGGAATTGCTGGACGACCATCCACGCTCTGCCCTGATTGGCTGCGCGTTTAAGTGTAATGGCAGCTCCAACCTGCCCGAGCCTGCAATTTCGATCCTGGCACCTATAGCTCGATGTGTCTACCCCACTGCAAATTTGCAGTGTGGGCACATCGGTGTGCCGATCGATATGCCAGGGTCGATGTGAGGCCCCGATCCTTGTAAAATGAAAACAGGTGCCGCGTCCTAATGCATTAATACGTGCAGGATTAATTCGTGCATTAATACCGTATTTGTCACTCAAAGTGGATGTCCATTGGAAGTTCCAATTCAAACCAAATCAGTCATGGGTATTCTCACAATGCTGCACCACCTTCACATTGAAGATAATGCTTTTTTCACTTCAAAGGCTCGTCTTCGTTTTGCCATGATCGTCATAGAGGTGAAGTGCCCTTAATATAATGGTTTGAACTTTGATAAGATGTTAAACTCCATATTGTTTTGTCAGGTTTTAAAGATGTTCACAAGCAACAGCAGAATGGAGCGCTTTAGAACCGCGGCCTACCATGACGAAACTAATCGAACAAAGGTAAGGGAGCTCCTGTTCCAGTGAATCTGGGACGTCTGTCCGCTTGGGAGGTTTCAAAGGAGAGAATTACTGTAGAACCCTGTTTGGTGATTCATTCTTACTCGCGTGGCCTTGAATTACTCGAGTGGCCACCGAATTTGGTGATAATTACTGGAGTGGCCACGCCAGGGCATTTTCGAGGAGTTGTTTTCCCCGGCACATTTCCCTACAAGGGTTTGTATCCCTGAAATTCCTCGTTCGCACGAGTCTCATCCCGAGGTAGCGTTTTCGTACTATTCCCCACCCGAAAAAAAACTAAAACCCGCTCGGAAGGCATGCCATCCGAGGGAGCCTCAACCCTAAAATTTTAGGGTTGAGGCTCCCGAATGGCATGCTGTAAGCCGTGGGGTTTATTTTTTCACCTAAGGGTAATGCGTCGGTAAAAAAAAGCCAGCGGGAATCCCCTGGCCTGGCCACTCGAGTAATTATCACCAAATTTGGTGGCCACTCGAGTAATTCGAGGCCACGCGAGCAAGGACGAATCACCGAACAGGACACTGGAGAAATTCTCTCGTTTCAAAGGCTCCCAAGTTTCCATTCCCGCGCTGCGTCCGAGCCTCGATCCGTTTGTTGATCGTGACTGCTGGAAATGAAGTTTCACTTGAAATGCTTCGTCTGTTGACAGATCCCCTTTCAGTATTTGAAGAGTATGCACTGATCTGGCGTCGTTGTATGGTTCCTCTTACGCCGACTGTTCCCGAAGCTCCAGGTGCGGCAAATGACAGTAATCCGTCTCTACTGAGGTGCGCTTTCTTGGAGCCCCACTCCTCTGCGCTGACGCATCCACACGCGAATGCTGAGAGTGTCAACAAGGACTGACGGAGAGGACCAGTTGCTACATGCGCGGATCGCTGAAGCTGCGAAGGTCGAGGGGGACCAGTGGAGAGATGAGACGGCAGCGACGCGAACCGCTTGGTCTCAAACGAACGACGGCGTAGTATTCTCAGCCTCTCGCACACCGGGGATGTCTGACAGCGGTCATTGCGGCAGGCGCGACGTGTAACGATTCCGCCACGGCGCTCACTCTGCCACTCGCCTGACGGTGCAAGTCCAGCTCTTCCGCCAACCCTGCATACGTTTCTGACCTGTGGATGCCGCGAGCCGTGCGTACGTGCAGCACCTGTGGGTTTCGCGTTCGCTCTGTTCATTGGCAAGGATGCGGAGTGCTGGCGATCATGACCGCCGTGGCCTGCACGCGGCCATGGCAGCGATCTGCAGGCGACTGGCGACTGCTGGCGCCATTGCTGGAGTCTTCCGCTTTGGACGCTGGTTGGAGAGTTGGACGTTATTTTCGGGAGATTGACGCGCTTGCATTGATGAACGGCGAATGACGGCTTACTTATAAACGCGCCGAGCAGCATACGACATACAACACCTGCTACGTGTGTGGTGCGTGGCGTTGGTGGCTCATGACGGCAATGAGCTCAAGCGCCTTCGCTTGCTTCGCAAATTTTGGCACTTTTTTTGCGGCCCCCCTCCCCCCCCCCTCTCCTTTCGTTTCTCTTGTAGTGAAGGGGGTTGCTATGCATTCACACCATGCGCACCCTCTCTTCCCCACTCACCCATCGCTGTCTTAGCTCGCTGCTGTAGCCCACCGTCACCATGCGCTTTCCCCCGTCCCCACACATTCCAACCACCTGCTGTCATGTGTTACCACTCACTCACTCACTCACACTCTCACACTTGTTCTGCTCGTTGTCCGCTCTGTTCGCACGTCCTTGTTGCTCCTGCTGCACGTTGGCTCTACTCTTGCTTTCTCGCTACCCTCCGTTGCATCTTCTCCCCCCACCGCTGTCTCTGCCCCACCCTTTTTTTGTCCCAGGGCGCATGGAGAGCAGGTAGGCGAGCAGCAGAGGGCTTTGGAGGCAGCCTCCACCCTCCACCCTCCGCCGTCCTCCCTCTACCCTCCTCATTCCACCCTACACCCTCCACCGTCCTCTCTCCTTCCTCCACCCTCCTCCCTCCACCCCCCACCCACCACCCTCCACCCTCCACCCTCCACCCTCCCGTCTCCTCCTTCCGCCCACCACCCTCCACCCTCCACCCTCCACCCTCCACACTCCGCCCGCCTCCCTCCACCCTCCACCCCCTCCCTCCTCCCTCCACCCTCCACCCTCCACCCTCCACCCTCCACCCTCCGCCGTCCTCCCTCTACCCTTCTCCCTCCACCCTACACCCTCCACCGTTCTCTCTCCTTCCTCCCTCCACCCTCCACCCTCCTCCCTCCACCCTCCACCCTCCACCCTCCACCCTCCACCCTCCACCCTCCACCCACCACCCTCCACCCTCCACCCTCCACCCTCCACTGTCCCCTCTCCTCCCTCCACCCTCCACCCTCCACCCTCCACCCTCCACCCTCCTCCCTCCACCCTCCTCCCTCCACCCTCCACCCTCCACCCTCCACCCTCCTCCCTCCACCCTCCTCCCTCCACCCTCCACCCTCCACCCTCCACCCTCCTCCCTCCACCCTCCACCCTCCACCCTCCACACTCCGCCCTCCTCCCTCCACCCTCCACCCCCTCCGTCCTCCCTCCACCCTCCACCCTCCACCCTCCACCCTCCTCCCTCCTTCATCTACCCTCCTCCCTCCACCCTTCGCCGTCCTCCCTCTACCCTCCTCCCCCCACCCTACACCCTCCACCGTCCTCTCTCCTTCCTCCGCCTTCCTCCCTCCACCCTCCTCCCTCCACCCTCCACCTCCTCCCTCCACCCTCCACCCTCCACCATCCACCCTCCTCTCTCCACCCTCCTCCATCCACCCTCCACCCACCACCCTCCACCCTCCACCCTCCGCACTCCGCCCTCCTCCCTCCACCCTCCACCCCCTCCCTCCTCCCTCCACCCTCCACCCTCCACCCTTCTCCCTCCCTCCTCCACCCTCCTCCCTTTACCCTCCACACTCCACCCTCCGCCGTTCTCCCTCTACCCTCCTCCCTCCACCCTACACCCTCCACCATCCTCTCTCCTTCCTCCACCCTCCTCCCTCCACCCTCCACCCTCCTCCATCCACCCTCCACCCTCCTCCCTCCACCCTCCTCCATCCACCCACCACCCTCCACCCTCCACCCTCCACCCTCCACTGTCCCCTCTCCTCCCTCCACCCACCACCCTCCACCCTCCACCGTCCACCCTCCTCCCTCCACCCTCCTCCCTCCACCCTCCACCCTCCACCCTCCTCCCTCCTTCCTCCACCCTCCTCCCTTCACCCTCCCCTCTCCTCCCTCCACCCTCCACCCTCCACATTCCGCCCTCCTCCTCACAGCCCCCCAGAGCAGTGGCGCCTCCTCCTCACAGCCCCCCAGAGCATGGGCGCCTCCTCCTCACAGCCCCCTAGAGCAGCGGCGCCTCCTCCTCACAGCCCCCCAGAGCAGCGGCGCCTCCTCCTCACAGCCCCCCAGAGCAGCGGCGCCTCCTCCTCACAGCCCCCCAGAGCAGCGGCGCCTCCTCCTCACAGCCCCCCAGAGCAGCGGCGCCTCCTCCTCACAGCCCCCTAGAGCAGCGGCGCCTCCTCCTCACAGCCCCCCAGAGCAGCGGCGCCTCCTCCTCACAGCCCCCCCAGAGCATGGGCGCCTCGTCCTCACAGCCCCCCCAGAGCATGGGCGCCTCCTCCTCACAGCCCCCTAGAGCAGCGGCGCCTCCTCCTCACAGCCCCCCAGAGCAGCGGCGCCTCCTCCTCACAGCCCCCCAGAGCAGCGGCGCCTCCTCCTCACAGCCCCCCAGAGCAGCGGCGCCTCCTCCTCACAGCCCCCCAGAGCAGCGGCGCCTCCTCCTCACAGCCCCCCCAGAGCAGTGGCGCCTCCTCCTCACAGCCCCCCAGAGCATGGGCGCCTCCTCCTCACAGCCCCCTAGAGCAGCGGCGCCTCCTCCTCACAGCCCCCCAGAGCAGCGGCGCCTCCTCCTCACAGCCCCCCAGAGCAGCGGCGCCTCCTCCTCACAGCCCCCCAGAGCAGCGGCGCCTCCTCCTCACAGCCCCCTAGAGCAGCGGCGCCTCCTCCTCACAGCACCCCAGAGCAGCGGCGCCTCCTCCTCACAGCCCCCCAGAGCATGGGCGCCTCCTCCTCACAGCCCCCCCAGAGCAGTGGCGCCTCCTCCTCACAGCCCCCCAGAGCAGCGGCGCCTCCTCCTCACAGCCCCCCAGAGCAGCGGCGCCTCCTCCTCACAGCCCCCCAGAGCAGCGGCGCCTCCTCCTCACAGCCCCCTAGAGCAGCGGCGCCTCCTCCTCACAGCCCCCCAGAGCAGTGGCGCCTCCTCCTCACAGCCCCCCAGAGCATGGGCGCCTCCTCCTCACAGCCCCCCAGAGCAGCGGCGCCTCCTCCTCACAGCCCCCCAGAGCAGCGGCGCCTCCTCCTCACAGCCCCCCAGAGCATGGCCGCCTCCTCCTCACAGCCCCCCAAAGCATCGGCGCCTCCTCCTCACAGCCCCCTAGAGCAGCGGCGCCTCCTCCTCACAGCCCCCCAGAGCAGCGGCGCCTCCTCCTCACAGCCCCCCAGAGCAGCGGCGCCTCTCCTCATCTCCATGCCAAGTGCCCAAGATGAGTGTGACTGAGCTGCACCAGCTGCTAAAATCACCCTCTCACTTGTTCCCCTGCGCCACTCATTCCCCCCTGTTCTTCCCATCCCCATCCCCATTCCTCCCTCGGCCAGGTGCTTGAGATGGACGTGAATCAGCTGCACCAGCTGCTGCTGTCTCAGCAGGTAGGCGGTGAGGTAGAGGGATTGGGGACGATTGGGGAGGCGGGTGGGACGGAAGTGGCAGAGGGGGCGTGAGTGGGGGGAGGGGGCGTGAGTGGAGAGGGAGGAGGAGGGGAATTGGGGAGAGGAGGATGGAGTTGGCAGGCGGCGGGCGGCGGGTGGTGGTGGTGGATACGCGCACAGAGGAAGAGACATCATGCCAATGATTTCAGAGTCGACTCAACAGTCAAGGCGTGTGGTGGTGGTGGGTACTCGCACAGAGGACAATGCGGCAGTATCAATGATTCCGGGCGGCGCACTGAAGCAGAGCGACTTTGAGCGGCACATGGGACGATTCGGCGATCATCCAGTATGAGCTGCACGCAGATGGGTACCAACCGGTGAGTGTTGTTGCTCGTGAGATCCTTTGTGTGAGTTGAAACTGAAGGAGGGAAGGGAGCATTTGCCTCTGCTGTCATGGATCTGCCAGCGATGCCCTTGCGAGCAACCACGCGGGTGCACGTGTACTCTTCCAATTACGAGCTGCACGCAGATAGGTACCAACCGGTGAGTGTTGTCGCTCGTGAGATGCTTTGTGTGAGTTGAAACTGAAACGGGAGGGAAGGGAGCAACAGGCTCTGGTGTTGCCATGGATCTGCCAGTGCTGCCCTTTGGAGCAACCATGCAGGTTCATGTGTTCTAAACCCAAGTCATGGGCCATGTGGTGTGCCAATGCCATGGTTGTCTGCCGGTTGGAGTGACATTTGTATGAGACCGCCCAAGTGGGTTCGTTCCATTACCAATCCTACTGATACACCTACAAATGAATAAGTATGGCAGTATGGCAGTACGGTCATTCATGGCTAGAGCTGGTCTGCATGGCAATCGAGGAGATGTCGCCACCACAAGCAACACCACCAGCAGCAGTAGTTGTGGTACATCTCCTGCTGCTGCTGTTGCTTCTGCGATGGTGGTTTAGGTTTGCTTTTGAGGCCACAAGTTGCAGTGTGTCCCGTGTCTTAACAAGCTTGCCTACCGGTAATTCATCTCAACTGCAAGCAACATTTCAGGAGTGACTGAGCAACTCTATGGAAAAAATGTTTATCCAAATGACTACAAACACAGCACTACAAATCGTCCCGTAGATACGGTAATCTCATTGCCATTTGGTTAGACAAAGAGACGTCTCCAACATCTTGATGTGGTAGTTGAGTTGCTATCACTGACAAATTGATACGGTAATACCGTATGCTTATTCTCAACTTGAAGCTGTATAATATCAAAACTTGAGATAATAATGTTGCAAGAACTTTGCGAGGACAACCAAGTGATACAAAAAACATTCACTAAAATTGATGTAACAGAAAATACAGTAGTTACCTCAACAAAATACATCATTTCCCTGTGACAGCCTTCTTGTATTGCTGTGTTACCCACACCCACCTCTGTGCTGCATTAGCCCTCACAACACGTGACACAAAGCCACTGAATCTGCTGAGGATTGAGGAATAAGGCATCGTGGTGTTGCCGCAGAGCCCTTGTATGGGCTCCGATACAAACCATGGGAGCAGCTTGCAAAAGATGGCGCGGAGAATGAGATCCATCATGTATAAGAACTGCACAAACATAGAAGTTGCACGTATTACGACATGAACGAACCAGAAGCTATAACATAAATGAAATAGAACCAGGTATTGACGGAACAGAAAATGTAAACGTACAGTGTAGAAGGTACTGACAGGCGCCGCAGCATCTGATAGCTCCACCAATGCGTGTCCTTCTACAACCTATAACACCCACAACGTGACATATAGACGTTGGTATCGCCTCGTTTCAGGCTCTTGACTCATTGAAAACAATGACCAGCAGGGAGGGGAGTGCATAGAGTGAATGAAAACCCATGTGACAACTGAGGGCACGGACCTGGAGAGCGGAATAACGGGAGAGAGTGGCTGCAAGGCCTGCCCTCAACTCCTCAACCTCTGGTACATCTATGCTTGCCCCTCCATCCCCACCAGCAGCAGCAGCAGCAGCGCCATCCTTGCCCAGGGGGCGGGGGACCCTGTCGTTCTCAGATACCGCCTCCCCCAGCAGCAACCTGCCCAGCACGAGCGCGTCCGTGATGGAGGCGTTGCAGCCCTGGCCTAGAGAGGGCAGCGTGGAGTGCGCTGCATCGCCTATCAGGGCCACCTGGGCGTCACTGTCATGGTAGCGCCAGCACTTCACCTGGTGGTGGGGAAGTGGCGTGTAGAGGGGGAGGTCACGCAGGAAGAGAGTGTGTGATGAAGTGCGCTGCATCGCCTAACCAGGCCACTTGGGTGCCTGCGTCGTGGTACCGCCACCACTACCACGGGGAACAAGAGAAACGGGCAGGGGGCGAGAAAGAAAGAATAACCCACCTGCATGCTCGTCCTTGGCTTCTGCTTCAGCAGCTTCCAGGCAGCTTCCTCAGGGACATCCAGCCAGGGCAATCTCTCATCGAGGTATTGTTTGGCAGCAGCCGGGGAGGCGAGGGAGAGCCAGTCTAGAGGCGGGTCGGTGGACTTCCACCCCCACACCAGACACATCTCGCCGCCCACTTGCGGCATTGCCACCGCCCCGATGTTTTTTGTGTTGGTGACCTGTTGAAGAGGGGCGGTGGGGAGGGGAGTGAGAGGGATAGTGGAATAACGAGCGAGGGATACTCAGAGTGAGGACGGAGTAGAAAATAGGCCAAGAAGTATAGTTGCAAAGAGAGCATAAACAGACCTTCGCAGTGAAGAAGAGAGAGGTGGGTGTGAGGGCGGGCGGCACGGGTATGCTGACAACAGTCCAGTCGTGATACACACGGTCCGTGTGTACGGGGAAATCCCACGTGCGTGCAACCAACAGGTTGCGCACATAGGAACGCACCCCGTCCGCCCCCACCTGATGGGGAGGAAGGAGAAAACAGGAGAGGCGGGGAGAGGCACACGGGCACGTCAAGAAATCACCTTTTATTCGCTCCACTATCCTCTCATTCCCTCTCCCACTCTCCCAACTCCCAGAATTTTCTTCACTCCCTCACTCCATGCATCCCTGACACACTCACTCACTCACCAAAAGGTCAAATTTGATCTCAACGTTCTCCAAGCCACTGCCACCACCCCCATTGCTGCTGTCACCACTGTTGCTGCTCTCACCACTGCTGCAACCTGCGCTGCTGCTGCTGGTGCTGCTGCCGCTGCTGTTACTGCTGCCACTGTTGCTGCTGTCTCCACTGCCACTGCCACTGCTGCAAGGCACTGAAGCAGTGACCACGTGGCCCTTCATATCCACATCCACAATCCTTGACTCAAAATACACTGCCAGGTGCTTGCTCAGGTGTTTCTTCAGGTGCTTCTGTTCCTCAGCACTAGTCTTCCCCCTATCCTCATCAGAAATTTCTTCACTTGCGGTCGCAGGTTTGTACCCCTTAGTAGCTCTCTCGGTAAGCGCGTCAAGCAGAGTGGCACAAAGGTCCGTGCGAGAGACGAGGCGTTGAGGGGGGTCCTGAAAACAAGGAGTGACCATTCGTTGTGTGGGAATGGGGGAGGAGGGAAAGGGATCGCGGAACTCTAGCCAGAGGCGGACAATGAACTGACTGAAAGGGAGGGAAAGATCGAAACAATGGTTAATACAGAAGAGTTTTGAGAAGCCTAAGAGACCTTTAGCAGCCTAATAAACCCACCTTGGGCATTAAAGCCTACCTTGGGCACTGAGAACCTGATGAGGCGGCCGAAGGCAGGCATGACCATCTCGTGTGGGTTCACCAGCACTGGCTGCACCTGCACACGTGGCAGGAGGCGATTGGATGAGAGAGTAGGTTGGGAGGGGTCTCATAGCTTGCTGTGCCTGCTGGCGTGCAGGTGGGATATGCCATAAAAGGAGGAATAGGGAGGACAATGAAGAGATTAGGAGGGAGAGGGGATTGTGAAGCATGTGTGCGCAAACACACACCCCACCTACCACACACCCCACCCACCACACACCCCACCCAGCACAAACCAGACTCTGCAACCCACCTTGTGCATGACTCCCGGAATAGCCATCAGGCAGTGCATCGCGCGAATGCTCAGCCCCATGGCGTACCTGCCGCCATTCACAGCGGATTCGGGGGAAAACGGGGGAGAGGGGGAAAAGCGGGGGGAGATGGAGAAGGTAAGGGAGAAGTTTTGAGAAGGCTCAGAAGAACTTGACCCCTGAGCGGATAAGGGGGAGAGACGAGCGGAAAAGGGAACGAAGACTGGAGCATAGGGGAAAAAGGTATTCCGGGCAAAGCTGCTCAAATTCCGCATCTTCTTATTCCCCCACCCACTTCCCGTCTCCCATATTTCCTCCTCTGCCCCCACCTTCCCCCCCTTCCTCCCCAATTTCGCCGCCTCCCCTTCCCCTGTCCCCTTCTCGCTTTCCCCTTCCCCCTCCCCTACTCCCCTCCCCCCCGCTCACCGGCGCGCGATCTCCGCCGCCTCTTCAACCTCCGCGCGCGGATCTACGCCCTTTTCAATCACGCTGACGTGGAACCTGCCGCCGCCACGTGCCAGCAGGTAATTCGCCAGCGCCAGGCCCGCCGGCCCCGCGCCGACAATGACCACGCGGAACACGTCAGCGCCCTCCGCTTCCCCCGAGAAGGGGCGCGCGCCGCCGTCGGCGCAAAGCGGATCGTTGGGGTATTCGCGCACCGCGCTCATGGTCGCTCACTCAACACTGAGAGTACTTAAAAATAAAGTAGAGACTTTACGGGCAGGTAATCAGCCGACGCGGCGTCAAAGCCCAACACAATCAAAGCGCGACGCGAAACACGGGCAGACTAATATATCTCTCTACCCGCCGGCAATGGGGGAGCCTGTGGGGAGAATCACACGCGCCGCCGCCAATCCCGCTGCCTTCTCTCCTCTACAGTTAAACAGTCACTGAATCATACTCCGTCTCTTCAAAGCAGCAGGTCTTTCTTTCATGGCATGGAGTTCCTAGGGTGGTGCCGAAACCGTGCCAATCAGTCGCCGCTGAACGCACAGTCATCCGAGCCAAGCATTGCGCACTGCCAGGAGCGGGAGCAGCTGAGAGCCGTACGTTGAGTGATGGCATGGCACCACGTGATGGGAGCGCCGGCCCTTGACCGTTACCAGGATGAACAGATTCGGACCGTTCGTTCGGACCTTGAAGGCAGCGTGGTGTTGTGCCGAATCAGCACATGGCAATTGGCCATTGGCCGTCCATTCGGTACATGTTTTATCATGTACGCTCCAAAAGCTAAACCGTTTGAGGGAGACATTCAACTGTATACATAGTCCACGTTTTATTTATGCAGGCCATCAGTCATTTATGTAAGTCAAGTATATTCATTCCAGTTAGCAGGTAAAGCAACGCCATAGCCATGGAGTCCGTGAGTTTAGCCGCAGCATCCGCGGCCTCAACAGCCACTCTCTTCAACGGGAAGAAGCAGGTTCTCTTAAGCAGCAGAGGCAATGCCTGCAATCCCGCATTCATCGCTCGTGTCGAACGTAGAATGAGCACTCCCGCGCTTAGAATAGCGCCGCGTCGCGTCGCAGGCCAGGTGTCCGCGTCAGCCGATCGGACGGTCGTCGCGGCCGCCACGTCGCCGGGCGGTCAAGCGCCAATAAGTGCGCTCGTGTTCGACTGCGACGGGGTGATTCTCGAGTCGGAGGACCTCCATCGGCGCGCTTATAACGCGGCGTTCGCGCACTTCGCGATTCGGTGCCCGGGAGAGAACGCCGTCGTTGATTGGACGACGGAGTTCTACGACGTGCTGCAGAATAAGATCGGCGGCGGGAAACCCAAGATGCGATGGTGTGTGTGTCCCTGACGATTGGTCGTGTCGTACTGTTTATGTAGGGAAGGTGCGCGGCGGCTGCCATACCCCATAACGTATGGACTATGAGTCGACTCAAAAATCACTTTTGAGGATTCTCAAAAGTCATTACCCAATACCGTATACCCCCATACCATTACACCCGTTTCCATCCCATTCATTACATTTCATCACATTCCATTCCATTTCATCACACCACGTTCTTTCCATGGTATGCTGACAGCAGATCATGCCTGAAACTCGCGACGCCATGTGCAGGTACTTCAACAAAAATGGGTGGCCGCATTCGTCATTTCTCCCCGCCCCTCCCGCCACGGATGCTGACAAGGACGTGCTTATAGACACGCTGCAGGTGATACTTGGTGCATGCGGACAATGTGACTGTATGGAGATGGTCAGTCACTGGTGCTGCAGCCTCCTTCCTGTCCCCATCACCGAGCACTGCCTCTCCCCCTCCCCTTCCCCTCCCCTTCCCCTCCACTTCCCCTGCCGCATCTCACCGCCTTCTCTGTGTTAACCTTGCTCCCCTTGCTCCTTGCTTCTCCGCCACTGCATACCTGCACGGCACATACCAGAGTGAACTACAAGCCAATTTAAAAGCCGCATCCGCTTTGACTTCCCGACTGCAGCTCATCCAGTCCACATGGCTGACGGCACCTACCAGACCAGAGTGAACTACAAGCTGACTCAGAAGCCGCATCTCACTGTGTGCTCCCCCCCGTTCTCTGCGTCTCTCTCTCTGCGTCCTTCCATGCTCGACACACCACACACGCTCTTACCACGCGTGCTGCCACCAGGATTGGAAGACGGACAAGTATCAGCAGATGATTGGCTCGGGGCAGGTGAGCAAATGATTGGGTGGGGGCTGGTGTGTGCATGATGGCGAGCGTCTATTACACCAATTTACGGGTCCTTCAGTTAGTTTCAACAGATGTTGTCGTTACTGTATATGGCTCTAAACACGGCTGCACCCTTCACCAGCTCCTGATAGTCTCGCTCTTGCCTCCTCCCCCCTATCCTCCCTTTTTCCCTCCCGTTCCTCCTCCCTTCTCCCCGTACTCTCCCCTCCTGCAGGTGCCAGTGCGGCCAGGCGTGTTAGAGCTAGCCCATGGATGAAGCCCAGCAGGCAGAGTGCCGTGCTTCCTCTTCCCAAGCCCCACCTTCCCCTTCCCCCTTCCCGTTTCCCGCTTCCACCTCACCACCCCTCCCCACAGGTGCCAGTGCGGCCAGGCGTGTTAGAGCTGAGGGATGAAGCGAGACAGAGGGTACGTGGAGGGATGGGGGTGGAAGAAGAGGAGGGAGAGCGGGGGGATGGAAAGAGCAAGGGAGCTGTGGTGACTTTTGAGTCGACTCAAAAGTCACCTGGGTGGAAGAAGAGGGAGAGCGGGGGATTGAAAAGAGGAAGGGAGCCGCATGCGGGATAGGAGGGGATGTGTTTTTTGAGACGGGATTTAACGTTCTTGAAATGTTGTCTCTTGACTGGAGGTATGGGGGAAAGGTGGTATAAAGAGGACAAGAGGCTCACTGCCCTTCCCTGTCTCTTCCCCTTCTCCCCATCCTTCCCCCTCCCCCCGGCACTCTCAGGGTCTGCTGGTGGCGGTGTGTTCTGCAGCCACTAAGAGCTCAGTTGTCTTTCAAGTCGACTCAATATTCTCTCCCCATTCCCCCACTTCCCCACCTGTCCCCCGCCTTTCTTCCCCCATTCTCCCCCCCGTCCTCCCCCCTCTCTCCTTCGTCTCAGGGTCTGCTGGTGGCGGTGTGTTTTGCAGCCACCAAGAGCTCAGTCGACGTTTGAGCTGACTCAATATTCTCTCCCCCCTGCTTACCCCCTCCAACCCCACTTCCCCCCCCCTCGCCCCCTCTCCCCCCTCGTCTCAGGGTCTGCTGGTGGCGGTGTGTTCTGCAGCCACCAAGAGCTCAGTCGTCTTCACTCTCACCAGCCTGCTCGGGAAGGTACTGTTCATTCCCCCTCGCTCTATTTGTATGGTGGTGCCTCAGAAATAGATCTTACCCTCAATAAGCTTCTGGGTAAGGTGCTCTTTACACCCCTTCGCCCTTGGCCCATCCCATCCCCATCTAAACTCCCACATCCAACTCAGTTTGTTATGTGCCTGAGAAATCGCCATAAGTGCCACGTTCTTTTGTTTACCATCCTTTCTTTTCGCTCGTGCTCCTTAGCTCTGAACCCAAACTCCCATACTTGCTCCTTTGTCAACTAGCACCCCGCTCTGTCAACTCCCTCCCTCCCTTCTGTTCTCTCCCACTGCTCCTTTTCTTCCTCCTTTCCCTCCTCGTCTTCCTTTCCAGGAGAGGTTTGACCGGCTGGACTGCTTCTTGGCAGGTGGGTGTCTCTTACCTGCCTCTCTTCTGCTTCATTGGTCGCGCGTTTCATTTCACATTGCGTCTTTTCGAGCCATCAGAAGTGCAGGGGTTGCAGAAACAGTTACTTGTCTACCGCCTCTTGTCGTCATTTTTTCCTGCCTTCTTCCTAGTTAATTCCTCCACTCTACAATCACCTCATTTTTTCTAGATCCAGATCTGTCTCATAAACCCCTCTGCGTACCTCCACTTTTGCATGCCTCCACTTTTGCATGCCGCCACCTTTGCATGCCGCCACCTTTGCGTGCCGCCACCTCTCTTTGCATAAACCTCCATTTTTCCTCCTCCGTTGCGCTCCTCTCCTCATGTGCCTGCCACCAGGCGACGACGTCCCAAAGAAGAAACCAGATCCGACCATCTACAAGATTGCAGCACAGGTGAGATTGCAGCACAGGTGAGATTGCAGCGCAGGTGAGATTGCAGCACAGGTGAGATTGCAGCACAGGTGAGATTGCAGCACAGGTGAGGTTGCAGCACAGGTGAGATTGCAGCACAGGTGAGATTGCAGCACAGGTGAGATTGCAGCACAGGTGAGATTGCAGCACAGGTGAGATTGCAGCACAGGTGAGATTGCAGCACAGGTGAGATTGCAGCACAGGTGAGATTGCAGCACAGGTGAGATTGCAGCACAGGTGAGATTGCAGCGCAGGTGAGATTGCAGCGCAGGTGAGATTGCAGCACAGGTGAGATTGCAGCACAGGTGAGATTGCAGCACAGGTGAGATTGCAGCACAGGTGAGATTGCAGCACAGGTGAGATTGCAGCACAGGTGAGATTGCAGCACAGGTGAGATTGCAGCACAGGTGAGATTGCAGCACAGGTGAGATTGCAGCACAGGTGAGATTGCAGCACAGGTGAGACTGCAGCACAGGTGAGATTGCAGCACAGGTGAGATTGCAGCACAGGTGAGATTGCAGCACAGGTGAGATTGCAGCACAGGTGAGATTGCAGCGCAGGTGAGATTGCAGCACAGGTGAGGTTGCAGCGCAGGTGAGATTGCAGCGCAGGTGAGATTGCAGCACAGGTGAGATTGCAGCACAGGTGAGATTGCAGCACAGGTGAGATTGCAGAACAGGTGAGATTGCAGCACAGGTGAGATTGCAGCACAGGTGAGATTGCAGCACAGGTGAGATTGCTGCACAGGTGAGATTGCAGCACAGGTGAGATTGCAGCACAGGTGAGATTGCAGCACAGGTGAGATTGCAGCACAGGTGAGATTGCAGCACAGGTGAGATTGCAGCACAGGTGAGATTGCAGCACAGGTGAGATTGCAGCACAGGTGAGATTGCAGCACAGGTGAGATTGCAGCACAGGTGAGATTGCAGCACAGGTGAGATTGCAGCACAGGTGAGATTGCAGCACAGGTGAGATTGCAGCACAGGTGAGATTGCAGCGCAGGTGAGATTGCAGCGCAGGTGAGATTGCAGCACAGGTGAGATTGCAGCACAGGTGAGATTGCAGCACAGGTGGGATTGCAGCG